AAGATGGGCTGGAAGACTCAGTGTCCACGCAGACCCACCTTCAGGCAGAGCCGGCTCCTCCGGGCACTTCCCTCCTGGGCCTGCACCCACCTGCAGGGCTGTGGGCCGACCAGGAGCCACCCTGCACCCGGGAAGGTGAGAGCCTGTCCCGGGACGAATGGGGCAGAAAGCAGAGCTCCTCCTCCCTCCCTTTCCGCGGGGACCCGCCCCGCGAGGCCCGCAGGGCTCAGCAGAGGACAGCCCCGCGCATCTGGGACCCGGGACAGAGTGAGCGGTGCTTCGACAGCCCTTTGCACCCCGGCTGCTGAGGGACATGCAGAGGCGGCGGCAGGCTGACGCGCGCTGAGAAGGGCGCCGGTGGCGGGGCCTGGCCGAGGGCGGAGGGCGGGCTGGGTGTGGGCAGGAGGCGTCTGGGCCTGGCGCTCACTCGGGTGCCTCTGTAGGAAGGGCAGTGCCACTCGAGTGAAGGTGTCCGAAGAGGCCAGGAGTTGAGGCAGAGCTGGCAGCACAGCGCCAGGCCTCCCTGCCCGGCCAGTGGTTGACCATCAACCATGAACTGGGAAGTGATGGTTTGTGCCCGGTTAGGGCACATGCCAGGGTTGTGAGCTTGGTCCCCAGTGGGGGGTGGGGGTGCAGGAGGCAGCTGATCGATGCTTCATCATTGATGTTCCATCTCTCTCTCCCTTCCTCTCTCTGAAATCAATAAAAACATATTTAAAAATAAAAATTAAAGGCCTCCCCACAAGCTGCACGCTGGGTTGTTGGGAAGACACGCCCCCAACCCCCGAGGGCGGCCAACTCCACAGCTGTGCCCAGCTCCGGGGCTGTCACGTGCAGGCCGAGCCCTTCTGACATACATTTCCACTGCTTTGCTGTGACTGTTCCGCAGGCCTAGGCTCACCACCAGGATGGGAGCCTGTGACCCCGTAAGGAGAAAACCTTGGGGTTTCCCTCCTGTGCACCAGCTGCAGGGACAGCTGGTCAACTTCACACATAAGCCAGAGCAGCCAGGTGAGCTCCTGGCCCCATCAGGCCGCGGGTCCCCGTGCCCAGATGCGCTTGGTAGGTATGTCTCCAGGGAGCGGCTCCGGGCGCTGGCAGCACAAGATCTTTGGTTTCATCAGGGGGGAAGGCAGCCCCTCTGAGGGTCCCATGCGTTCAAAATAATAAAGAACCCCAGAAGTTCTGCAAGGAACCCCTCCCATTTCATTTAATCCATGGTTGCCCAAACTTAGAGACCATGGAACCCTTTCTGCCACATCACATACTTAACAGACCTGGGCATCGCTCGTCTCTTCCCACTCAAGTGGGGATGGTGGGAAGCCCGACAAATGAAAGGCAATGTTCAAAGCAAAAACAAAACAAAACCCCCCCCAAAACCCCCCAAACAAAAACCCAGGGGCCTTTCGGGCTGATATGCAACTCATCAAAAATCATTCTTAAAAAAAGAAAAAACTTTCCAAGCTAAAAACATCCTCTTTACCCCGTCCCCTCCATAACTTCCTAGTGAATTTTCCATTTCTTGTTCCCTACCCCCACCCTCCCCCTAAACCAAGAAAACCCGACTTCGTTCACGAACCCAGAAACTCCCCTCCCGCTGCAGGGTCCTCCCCCCCCAGGTTCATGTGCCTGATCCTGCGTTTGCGTGTGCTTGAGACCCACTGGGGTTAAAACCCAGCCCCCCACCCAGGTCCCGTCTTGACCCCCCTCCCAGCAGAGTGGTTTCCCCAAGGGAGGCCTTGCTTTCTTCAGCACTCCTTCCGCCCCCCCCCCCCCCGCCCGGATGCAGCACAGGTGGGAAGCACAGAGGTTCCAGTGCTTGCTTCTCATTGAACGGGGAGCCAATGGCTTTTCTTACCAAGACTGGCCTCATGTCAAGTCCTCCAATGGCCACTGGGCCTGTCCCTAGTTTTTCAGGCTGATGTGAGTCGGGAAACAGGGCAACAGCAGGTTCTAACGGGCTCTCTAAGAAGACCCGAATCTTTCCTCATTTGAAAAAATGAGCTCTAGGGTTACATACAAAACAAAGAAACAAATCCTGTGACTGCTGCCTACGCTGGCCTTTGGTCACCATCTGGTTTTCTTCTCAACACGAAATGTGTAGCATACGTATACGCAGTCACATATTTTCATCCCACCTTCATCTCAAACCATCCACAGAAGTTAGAGAATAACTGAATGATGGTTAAACATGTTTTATTTAGGTAGACATGGGTCAAAGGTTCAGCCATGACTGCATTCAAGTTACTTCACTCCTGTGCCTCGTTGTTGCCACCTGTAAAATGGGTATCACAGTAACAATTCACATTTATCACAGGCATATGATGTGAGCGGCACTGCACCCTGCGTTCTCCGTGGACTCGCCCAGACCTGAAGGACTGCTCCTCGTTGTGCCAGCCAGGCCGTGGGGCCAAGGCATCCAATAACTTGCCCAGCCCCAGCGCTGGAAGCCCGGTGGCCTGACCGCAGCTCTCGTGTCGATCGCTATGCTTTACGTCCTCCAACAGGAGCCGTCTCCGGCATCGTGGGAGGAGTGAGTGGCGTAAACAGGTAAAGCTTTTACGGACCAGGCGCCCAGCACATGCTCAGTAACCTGAGCTGCTGTAGGTCCAGGAGCCCTTAGCTGAGACCCTAGGGGCCACTGCGCTTCGCAATTCAAAGGTTTTCAAGAGAGAATTTTCAAGGGAGTAAAAAGGCAACTCACAGAATGGGAGAAAAATTTAGTAAGAGTTTACTATCCAGAATGTAAAGAACTCCTAGAACCAAAAACACAAACTCAATTCAAAAACGGACAAAGGACTTGAATAGATATTCTCCACAGATACGTAAATGGCCAACAAGCACATGAAAAAAAATACTCAACATCACGTTAAGTGGGGAATTCCGAATCAAACCACAACAGACCACCTCGCACCAGCAGTACAGCTGTTATCAGAACGCGCGGGTGAGGAAGCGGCGCACGGGAACCGTGTGCACTGCTGGCGAGGATGTAAATGGGCCCGAGCTGGCTTGGCTCAGTGAAGAGAGCATTGGCCTGCAGACTGAAGGGTCCTGGGTTCAATTCCAGCCAAGGGCACATGCCTGGGTTTCGGGCTCGATCCCCAGTAGGGGGCGTGCAGGAGGCAGCCAATCAATGATTCTCTCTGATCACTGATGTTTCTCTCTCTCTCTCCTTCTCCCTCCCTCTCTGAATTCAATAAAAAAAAAAATTTTTTTTAAGTGTAAATGGCACAGCCACTGTGTTAAGCAGCATGGCGGTTTCTCAAAATACTAAACACAGAATCACCCTGTGGTCCAGTCATTCCACTTCTGGGTCGGACACTGAAGCAGCGAAAGCAGGGGTTCACAGACATGGGCACCCCAGTGCTCACAGCAGCACCGCTCGCTCCAGCCGAAGGGGAAGGCACCCCACTGGAGGCGACAAGGGAACACTCCTCGGCCTTGAAAAGGAAGCGCTGACATGCTACAACATGCATGGGCCTTGTAGACACATGCGAAGTGAAATAAAAAAGCCAGACACCCAAAGACACACACTGTCCAAGTCCAGGATATGAAGGACCTAGAAGAGTCACATTCAGAGACAGAGTGGAGGGTGGGTGCCAGGGACTGGGGGAGGGGCCCGGGGAGTCAGTGTTTCATGGTGACAGCGTTTCAGTTTGGGATAAAGAAAAGGTTCTGGAAATGGATGGTGGTAATGGTCGCATAACAACGTTAATGAACTTAATGCCCTGAACTACATACTTACAAGTGGCTGAAATGGTAAGCTTCATGTGCATTTTACCACAAGAAAAGAATAAAAGAGACAGAAGCATGGCCTACACCAGTGATGGCGAACCTATGACACGCGTGTCAGAGGTGACACGCACACTCATTTTTTTGGTTGATTTTTCTTTGTTAAATGGCATTTAAATATATAAAATAAATATCAAAAATAGAAGTCTTTGTTTTACTATGGTTGCAAATATCAAAAAAGTTCTATATGTGACACGGCACCAGAGTTAAGTTAGGGTTTTTCAAAATGCTGACACGCCGAGCTCTAAAGGTTCGCCATCACCTGCCTACACACTGCCTCGCAGGCTGGGAAGCCTTGCGTGCTGCACACCCACCGGGTGCACCCCCAGCTCTGGGCCTTCGTGGATCACGGCCCGCTCACAGCTGAGCCAGCGAGGGGCACCTACCATCGCTTCCAAACACGCATCACGCTGTGCAGCTGCAGAAACAAAAGCCTTCCCTTGCATCTGCGTTCTTTTCATGCACATCACGACTGCACCCTGGTCCACCTGGCCTGGCTGTGTGCCCGTCCCTGGCCGCGGGACACAGGGTCGTGGTGGCAGGAAGGCCGTGGCCGAGGCCTGGCCTGAACTATCCAGTGGACTGTGGGCAGCAACACCCCCCCACAGGCACGTAGTGCTCAACCAAATCCCTCAGGACTGAAACACATACTTTTCCCCCTTTAGTTAGAGACGGGAGGGAGGGGAAAGGAAGGGATTAATTTAAACTCTTACGAAGGAAAACTAAAACTTTTTGCTAAGGAACTTACACTTACCATCTTGTTCCCACAGCCAAGCCATCTCTACCAGTGCTCAAGTTACGGAGGCTGCGCGAAGGCGGGCCCGAGCCTGGAGCGGTCAAGTTCTTTCCTAACCGACCATTTGGAAGGGCCTACAAGCTGGAAGCGGATTTCAGAAGGAGCCAGTCCCCCTTGGGAACGTGCCAGATCTTTCATCAGAAACCCCGGGCCTGGGACACGTCAGTCACTGGGGCAGCATTTCAGAAAACACCCTGGGGTCACCTGAGTCTTGAAAAAGAGAGTTGTTCCTACAGAACGCTACCGCAGACGGCAAGCAGCCTGGTAAACAGGATGTCACCATATGGAAGCACGCGTTTTCAGCTGACCACGGAATTAAAACGTTTAAAGACCATTTCTGCGGCAACTACTTGAGTTATCGCCCAGTTGAGCCGATCAAATTGAGAAAAGAAAAAGATAAAAGGCCACGCAGTGAACAGACCATAACTTTATTGGAGGTTTACTCGGCTACAATTATTACACAAAAAAGAAAACACGACGGAAGGTAACTGCGGCCCATGAGTGCAGACGCAGCCTTCTGCTGATGACGACGTGTGAGCAGTGACGTCACGTTCTTACAAACAGCTGCAGTGTGTGGTGGTAAAGACTTTACTGTCAACCAGAGTACACGTTAGTATTACTTGATTTTAGTCCTTTTCCTGCACTCTAGTTACAACAGAAATGCCAGAAATGTCACTTTTGTTCACCTTCGCAGTTTTGCTGTATAACCAACCGGCTGCCGCAGTGAGTTCTGAGCACATCTACAGAATCTAAACTGTCTGGTTGATGTCCAAATAAAAACGGACTGAAAAAGAAGCAGTTAATGATTAAAATATATTTACAAGTCAGTTTCGCGAGACCATTTTCACTGCTGGTGGAAAATACAGTCTTAATGCAAGCTCCCTAACATCGCTCCTAGGGTCTCCAACTCTTAAGATCATTTTAATATGCTCGGTCTTCAATGTGTCTTAAAACCGTTTCATGTACAATATAAAATAAAGGAATTCATCTGGAGATAATTAAATTCCTGAAAAGTAATCAGTGGTTGAAAAAATACACCTATGTAAATGGAATTAAAATAACCGTCAGGTGACAAACGCAGCGTGCGCCCTTCCGCAGAGGACAAAGCTGGCTAAGGACTCAACGTCATTCCAGACGCCGGTTAAATAAAAACGCCCAGGTCTCCGTCTCGCGGGTCACATTCTGTGAGAGAGAATGAGATCCCCTCACAGAGCGAGATGCCAAGGTAAACGCCTGGCCCGGGACTGGACGCGGTGGGTCTGGGCTGGAGTCCTCTGCCGCCCGCAGCCCCGCCCGCTCCAGGCGCCCACTGAAGGGCCGACTGCCGGGTGAGCGCCGGTGCATGAACTGAACCACCAGAACCAAAGGAGCCTACATCTCTTGCGATTTTGGCCGGGGAATTTGAATCTCTCTGAGGGCAAGCTATTATTAAGAAAATAAAAATATTAGTATGTTCAAAGATAAAAATTACAGGAGTGTTAGAGGTCATTCTACATTTAATCACATCACATAATATAAAAGAAAAAAGTAACAAACATTTTTAAACATAATTAAGAGTTCAGTTAACAAATCTTTGTCATACTTTCACAAACAGTAAAAATGCCACAGACAAGAATGATCCATTGAAGTTGTGCAAGGATACATGACACATTGCAGGCATTAGAATTATCTTTCTCAAATTCGGTAAATCAAAACAGCAGCGAGGCCAAACCACATTTTTTGCTCTCAGTTAAGCATATTTCCTTGAAATGAGGTAAGCATGGTACCAAGTGCAATGCTGCTCTGTGCTCCATGGGGGTGGGTGACAAGCGCAGCGCAGTGAGGACGGCTGAGGGTACACACAGAAGTTAAAGACGTTTACAATGAGGGTCAAGCCAACTGACCTCCACACAACCCTGGGGAGCCTGTGCAGTCAGCTGCGCTTCAGGTCAGGCGTGCAGGCCTCCCCAGCGCCCGCAGCACCCACAGGCTCACACTGCATCCCGCCTCCCGTCGCCATCACAGGACGCAGGGATGGCACACACGGTGGATGAGGAGGGGGGACGGGGACGGGCGGGCAATGCAGAGTGATCTTGTTCCTAATTAACAGACGAGAAACATTTCAACAAGCTCAACAGGGAAACGTTACAGCATTAGATTCAGCAGCACAGAGCGTTCATAACCATTTCACTCGCCTAACTCATAGCTTTTCTTTATAACAGAGCAACCAGGGGTCAGAGACTGCTTCAAAGTGGGAGTCACAAATTAAAATCAGCTAATTTTCTCCAGCAAAAAACAAACAAAAACAGAAATAGCTCAAGTTTGCTGTTGATAAAACATTTTGAATGGTAGCAGGAAATTTGAACCCCTGAGAACGTATGACCTAATCATATCCAAGTCTGAACTTTTAAAGTATTAACAAAAAATACTCTTCTTAAGGTTACAAAATATATTGAGGCATTTTCTCCCAGTGGGAACTGTACTGTGAACAATCTGACATTGGTGCCAGGAGGAGAGCCCGCGACCCTGGGATGAGTGCGCTAGACAACGCCACCCTCCGCCTGGCAGCAGGTCGTTTGCGCGTTGTTCGGAGATCTGTGATATGCCTTCATCACAAGTCAAATCCACACCCAGCCTTACTTGCTCATGGACGCGGTTACAGTTCTGTAATTCAAGAATTGCTTGGTTTTAACTTGCCATGAGACCTTCTGCTAAGATTTTTAAAAAACGAAAACGGAAATCTAAGGTTCCAAATCAGAATTCAGCATTTTAAAAATGAGGCCACCCTAATTAATTTGCTCAGGAACGCGATTAATAATTTAGATCCATCCCAATGTAAGATTGGGGACAAGTAAGGTGGGGAGCTGGGCGTCCCTCTCTGGGGCCTCAGCCAGTGAAGCGGCAGCCTCGGCTGACACGTGCAGAGCGATGCTCGGGGAGGGGTGCAGACAGCGGGAGGTACAGTATTCAACTGCAATTTAAACAGAAATGCAGCACTGCAAGAAGATCAAGTTCAGAACGATGTGCTGGGAACATTAGACACCTCTGCTCAGCTTTCTTAACCTTCAAGCATAATTAATGGGGCAAATTGCAGCAAACCTCTACTGGTATGTTGGTGGGAGTGCAAGACCAGCCCACAGCTTTTATAAAGGTAAATTAAGAGGTATTATAGGTACAGTGCAAAAAAAATTAAAATTTCAAGCATAATACATAAACATAGCACCAAACAGGGGGAAACGCATGCAGAAGAAAAGAAGAACTGAGGTATTTAAGTGAAGAGTGCCTACAGGTCTAATTAAAGAAACTTAGGCAAATGCCTAACAATGTCTTTTTTTGTTTCTTTTCTGAAGATAGAAGTAATGAGCTAGTTGAGCTAAATTAACAAGCTAAATCATGGACATATCACTATCGTGGCAGTTTTCTCACACTTTAAACTCCCACAGCTAGCACAGCTTTGGTAGTGAAGTACACGCAGCATGGTGGACAGTGCAGCAGACACTCACGGGAGAAGGCGGAAGGGGAAGGTGCTGGGCCTGTCTTTAAATAAGTGACCAATGAATTATAAAATCTGCAGCATATTTAAGGTGTGATATGTCTAAGGTTAATTTTGTTAGAGAAACAGCCTATAGGGCAAAATTATTTGCCACAAACAATTTCTATCAGTGGAACTACCTTGCAGGAGGTTTTTTAAGTAAAACTGGGTAGTTAGCCAAAGATCATTTTTATTATGGTGTTTTTTAAAAAATCCCGTCTACAGATTCTGGTTTTTTAAATGTCTTTAGTATACACGTGCCAGAAATCCAAATCTCTTGTTTTAAGTTACAACTGCACTAGTGGGTTGTGAATCCCACAGTCTCAACATCTAATGCACAATAAAATGCAGGGAATGTAAGATCAGTTTGTTCCAAAAAAGATCAGAAATTAAAGAGTATCCATGAGGACGTTACGTTTAAGGCAAGAACCTTTGTCATACGTGGCACGAGAAAACTAACATTGGATTCACCAGCTTGCCAGCCAATGCCATTGACATCTGTCCCTCACGATTAAGTGCAATAGCGCTGGGAACACCATCTTCACACAGAACGTGGGCACCGAGGCGACACGGGCACACTTCCCCGCTTCACAGCGTCCTCTCGGGCTCCCCAGTGCAGGCTGGCAATCCCGCACAGACCGGGGGGCACGAGGACTCTAGCATCACTCAAGGGACTGTGTGAGTTTTCAGCTCCCTGGCCTCCTAACACTAAGCAAAGGTGAGGAAATTATACTAAAAACAAAACAAACCATCAGTAATTGTTCTGAACGCTTGCTAAATGTCATCATTAAAGCACTCTTGTGGTTTAAACAAAGCAGAAGTGAGGAAAGAAGACAAGATTGTGTTTGCGCAAAAAACTAAAACTACAATTAGTTCCAAAATTTTTATACATATGTTAAATGTTTTATTCTGTAATCTATCCTGTTATCAAACTTTAAATTCTGCCTTCTATTCATTCCGCTCAGTATCAACTTTAAATCATCCTTTTCAATCTAAGTATTTTCTACCTTATTCTGCTTTTTTGTTTTTTAATTTTAAAAAGGGGCTTCAGCTGCTGGGAACCTGAGGTTGATTGGCTTTGAGGCTGCGGAGGGCTCTTCTTGCCGCTGCAGACTTGGCGATCCTGTAGCTGCGACCCACGCCTTTGAACTTCCCCTTCCCCACCACCTCCACGGTGACTCTGACCTTGCCATCGTAGGTCCTCTCCGCCGGGCTGTAAAGAGGCCAAACAGCATGAATTAGAAGTCGGAGTATTTATTATGACTGTCAATCAGCTCTGAGTGTGAGCTCTCAGCCGGGAGCCCGCACAGGCTGACACCACACCAGGGAAACGTGCACGACGGCTCACGCACAGCGGCAGGCGGGCTGCCGTGGCTTCTTTAATTCAGCGTCACTTTATAAAACAGCAGAGAAGTCGATCAGACTACAAGTGGAAACTGCGGAGAGCGTGCCCCCGTGTAAATATTTTTCGGAATCGTTCATTTACGGCATCTGTGAGAACTTCCCCCTGGATTTGAAATAAGTTAATTTTTTCCATGCACATCTTTGCTTACCTAAACTTGGCGGTTTCTGGTTCCATTTCAAGCAATTCTCGCACAGGGGAACGGGGCACATTTGCAGAAAATTTTTCTATAATCAAAGTGAAAGAATAACGTAAATAATACCCTTGAAGTTGCTTTGAATTTTGACTCTGCTTTTTTTTAAGGGGAGCCACAGTACCTATGAGTGGCCGCATCATAGGATAGTACACCTGCCAAACCATCTCCAGCGACATCCCACTGTCCATGTAAATGGCACCAGCAAGTGACTCAAAAATATCCCCCATGGCCTTGGGGACTTCAATGTCCTCCTCCTTCTCCTCATCCTCCTCGGACCGCCTGAGCTGGGGAGAGAAAAGGGACTGTAAGCAGGAGGCAGGAAGGCAGGGCAGAGGCAGCTTCCTTTCCCGGCTGGGACTCTCATTCCTTCGCTAACAAAGGTAATGATTCCAGCTGTTCATGGCTGCCTCCACGTGGCACTAGGTTCTTCACAAGCAGTAACTTACCTAAAGATGAAGTGTTTTCAAATTTCTCAAAAAAAAAAAAAAAATCCCCTCCCTTTTAATAGTCTATACCCAGCAAAGAAAAAAAGATTATCTTTCAATAAGAACAAAATTTTTAACACAAAATTAGAAATAGTCAATAAATAAATGTATTTTAAAAACTTTCAAATTCACTCATCATCAAAGAACTTCACCTCCGCAGAGCTGCCCGGAGGCTGGGCAGAGAGGGGGAGTGCTGGTGGGACAGGCAGGGAGGACGCACGCTGCTGAGGGCATAAACTGCCCCTTTCTGGGCAGGGAAACCCTATTTGGAAGATATTTTCCTCCAAGCTCCTTTTTATGAAACACTTAATACATGTTTGCTGTAAAAGAGTACCTTACAAGCAGCAGGTATTCAACTTCACAGAATAAAAACTTACATGTGTATCAAAAGCCTTTTAAAGGTTCACAATTGTTTGACGCAGCAATTCCACCTCTGGGAACTTATCGTAAGGAGGTAACTGGATATATAAGCATATTTATCACATCCATGTTATTAAAAGTCCTAACTGAAAGCAGCTAAAATACCAGCTGCAAGGACGACTAAATTCGCTCCCCGACAGCCTTGCCCTGGCCAGCACGCAGCTACTGACAGTCACCACCACACACTCGGGGACAAGAAGAGAGTGTGGGAAGTCACGCATACATCACCCCTCTTATGTGCGTGTTCACATCTGCTTTCTAAAATAAACAAACTACTTGTGAAAGAAATTAAAAGGAGGGGACAGTAATTTCTAAACAGTTTTTAGTGAAACCAAGTTCTATATACAAATTATAATACTGACTACTGGAAAAATAAGACAGTTATTGTTCATATATCATGGTTTTGAGGGAGAAAGGAATTTTAAAACATATGAAGTTTAATTCTTTCCCTTTACAGATGAGGACACTGAGGCCCAGAAAAGTGGAGAGAATTCTTAAGAACAAGAACAAATAGTAAATTTAAAAAGCCAGACCATGACATTTCCAATTAGTTTTTGTAACTTCCATACATATTTATGTAAACAATGGAGAGGGAAAAAGAATAAACACAGATTACAGAATGTCCCCTTGTCATGTGAAAGAGCATTTAGATGTCGGCGAATCTCTCATTCTAAGCTTGCAGTGTTTGGGAGGATGAGACCAGAAGTGATGCTGACTGCGAGTAGCGCTAGTCTCCTGCGACCACTCGCTCTCACTCACACTGCCCGAGGCAGCGCCGGCCGCCTGCACAGAGCCTGCCTGCCTGCCCGCCTGCCCGCGGCTGGTCTGGACAAGAGCCTTCGCTTCCAAGGAAGTTAAGGGAATACATGAAAGCCCCAACAACGGTTTGAAATTTAAAAAGGAACCAATCAAAAAAGAACAATGACAACAGCTATCAGAGGAATTTGTGAATAAGTTCCTTAACTCCTTATAAAAAATCTACAAAAGTAAGAAAAGCCAAGGAGTCAGCATGGGGAGGAGGAGGGACGGAGCGGCCTCCTGGGCACAGGGGACGCAGAGGAGGGGCGGCAAGCACTCCGGGCTGGGAACACCTAAGCAACAGCCTTGCCGACAAAGCTGCAGAGGAGTCACCGACATCAGAAACAGCTCCATCACCAACGAACCTCTGGCTGAACTTACGGAGAAGCCTCTCAAATTCCAACGGTTAGAAATGCAGAAGTTTGGTTTTTAACTGAGGTTTTCCATTTCCAGTAGAAGCAGAATACGTGTTTGTGCCGATTACCTGAGACATGAGCAAATATTCCCGACCCATGCTGAAGAGCAAGGCAGGCAGAAGCCCTGAGGAGGCCACTGGGTTAGGCCACCGTGGGGGTGGCCAGGGGGTGGCGCCACACCTCTCGGGAGCCTGAATCGGTGGGGAAGGCTGCCACACTGGACCGCGCTGGGCTCCCTCTCCCTGTGAATGGCCACACGCCTCCATTCCTACAAGGCCCCCCAAAGACTCCGGCCCACCTCAGCTCTCCCCAGGATCGTACGGTGCGGGCGCCACAGCCTGGCTTCGGCCGTCCCTTTGCACAGCTGTGAGCCAGAGCCCTAACTCCCCAGAGCCCCGGCCAGCGGCTCCACCTCTGACTCGCACACGCTCAGCAGCACTGACCTCAGAATCCATCCCCTGCATTTCGTTCTTCTCGAGCTGGAACTGCACAAAGACGTCGATGACCTGGAAGAGCTCCGGGGACACGGCTTTGAAGTACTTGTGGTAGTCGTACTTCACGGCCAAGGACGCGAAGATGGTGTTGTTGACCAGGGCGGAGCGCAGGTCCGTCAGGACGCCCGGGGAGTGCTGCCGCGGGTCTTCGTAAAGGTGCTTGGTTATGAGGTAGTCCAAGATCGCGTCTCCCAGGAACTCCAGGCGCTGGTAACAATCTGAGGGAGGAGCCAAAGGGGAGCCATGAGCCTGGGCAACGCCCTGACCCGGTTTCTGCAGAATGACTGGCGAGAGGCCTGCCCGAGAGCCATAGCAGAGACTTTTTTCTGGGTTCATTTCATACACACTCTTCAAGGACAAAATCACTTGACATCTCACTTGCTGAAGCCTCGGGCAATTACATTTTAATGGCAAATTAAGCACATTTCTTATATATACGTTGTGGTCAGAAAATCTCTAGGTGGCCCGAAGACAAATGTCTTGTTAGGAAAACCTTTCCCAGGAGACATCCTTATCACTGAGCCCTTTCCCCTGGCACCAAGCTGGGCAGGCAGGTGCTGGGCACCGTCCTAAAGTCCCCACCACACATCCCTTACTGAGCCCAACCCTGCGTGTCCGCCTCCACCGAGGTCTCATCACTGCACACCACTCACTCACATGTGAATGTATTTAAGTGGCACCACGCCTCGCCATTTCTGGGTTACATCTGTTTCACAGATAACAGTTAGTATAAGGAGACCCTCTTCTCAACTTGGATTAGAAATGGTGAAATTGAGCCCTAGCTGGTGTGGCTCAGTTGGAGGGGCATCGTCCTGTGCATGGAAAGGCTGCCGGTTTGACTCCGGTCAGGCATATGCCCAGGCTGCGGACTTGATCTCTGATAGGAGTGCAGGAGGCAGCTAATCGATATTTCACTCTCACATTGATGTTTCTCTCTCCCTCTCTCCCTCCCCACCCTCCCTTCCTCTCCCTCTAAAAAAAAAAAAGATTAATAAAAAATATGAATTTTACACAAACCAAGAGATTGAGAAATAAAAGTTGTGAAGTGAGCCAAGACCTTGAGCAAAAGCAGTTGTCAAAATGTGAAAAGTTCTCAATATTAACCAGCACCTCATCTTTCTCCGTTAGTAAAGAGTCCATTCACCTGCGGAAACTGAGGCAGGGACAGATGAAATGATTTGCCCAGCCGCCCCCCAGGGAGGGGCTGAGACAGGCTAGAGCCCAGACCTCACCCAGGACTGGGCGGTAGAAAACCAGGCCTCATTACACTCTCCAAGAAAAACAGGTTTTCGTTTCACCAATCTTTCTAGAATGGAGTCGGATGCCTTTTCGCTTTTTGGCTTCACATTCCTCAGACCATCTTAATCTACATTCTTTTCCTTACACAAACTTTCTACTTGGCTTTGGTATTCTGGACTCAAGCACTTGTTACTGTGAGACAGAAAAGCACATGGACTTGAGCTGTGTTGCACAGGCTGATGCGGTGTTAGCTGTTAGCTGCCTGTTCTTCCTTCTAAGGCAGCGGTCGCCAACCGGTGGTCCGTGAGGTCTGAAAGGTTGGCGACGCTGTTCTAAGGCAACGGGCTGGGAGCCTGTTACATACAGACGGGAAGAAGCAGGGAGCACAGTGCAGAGGAGATGACAGCGGTCAGAGCAAGGGCATGAAGCCTCTGTGAAGCAGTTTCTTATCACCTATTCATCTTTAGACTTATGATAAAAGGATGTGGAAGTACATCCAGAACACACACATAAATCAGGAACCCAGAGCAGCCCTGAGCGGCAGAGAGCCCCTGGGCGGGCTGAGACAGGAAAGACACACCACGATGCGGCCGCTCCCCGGGATCCCGCAGCACGTGACATGACATGTGCGAGCGGGGACGGAGAGCCACCTCCCTCCTCCCAAAGAGCAGCGCATGCTCCCAGAGAGGAGGCCAGGCTTTCTCGCTGGCCGTGGCTTCCTCCCCCACCTCGCGTGTTAAGCACTAAGTCTGAACACGCATAGATCATTTTTTTATGAGGCCAAAATAATGCGATTGACACGTGGCCGCACTTTCAGAGAAGTGCGGCGGGCCTGGGCGCCTTACCGGTAATAGTGTTGTAGTGGTAGGAGGCGTGGGTAAACGCCTGCAGAAGGTAAGCCTTGTTCTTGAATCTGTAGTTGATTTTCTCTTCAAAATTCTCAAAACCTGATATGAGGTGCGTCAGGGTCTTATCTGCGTCCGGATGGTCGAACATGCACCGGGGTGGGATCTTCAGGCAGCCGTACTCCACGTCCTTCCCCGCGGCGGAGCGGGAGCTGGCCGAGGCCGAGGCCGCCGCCCGGCTCCCTGAAAGGCTCCTTTGTTGGCTGCTGCAATTCTCCCGGGCAGGGCACACGGCCTTCTCGCGCTCAGTCCTTTTAATTACAGGGAGCACCTTCAGCCCCAGCGAGCAGAGGAAAAGCTGAGCCGCCCTCTCGCCACAGCTGGTTAAATAGCAGCCCAGCAGGGCTTCCACGCAGTCAGCGATGCTTTTGTCAGCAATGCACTGCTCCGTGTGCAGGTCATAAGAAATGGACTGTTTCCCTGTGTCAACACCACAGTTTTCCTCTGATGGGTTCCAGAACCCCACCACAAAGTCATCCTCCTCCACAGCTTTGCTAGGATCCAGATAGCACATTGCATCCCAAGAGCTATAGTCAAAGTCCTCGAAGTCTGCTGAAAATGGCATGCTACCTAAGGAGGCTTTTTTGGGCATTTTCCACTCATATGCTGAGTCGGCGGCTGAAAAGGGAGAGAGAGGGATTTTCTTCACAAAAGCTCCCGATCCCATCAGCATGTTGTCTATGAACTGGATGTGCTCCTGGTCGTACTCCAGGAAGTCGTCCTCGTCGTCGGCGTCCTCCTTGGGGGCCCTCCACAGCAGGCCCTCCTCCTCGTCCTCGTCAAAGTCATCGTCCAGTTTGCCATTAGCCAACATGCAGTCCTTTGTCTGCAACGAGGGGAATGGGGCAGGAGGGAGACATAGCTGCTGGTTTTAAAAGGGTTGGAGACTCAATAAAAGCAAGGGTTATGGATAATTTCAAATGACAACCACAAATACTAAAAGGCAACTTTAAAATCACAGCCATTTGTTTTCAATTAACATAAAATAAGTTATTTAATCATATAAACAAAGTAAAACATGTTCTTTGAATGTTCATTTTCTGAGTTATAAAATGACCTTTATCCAGTCCGAAGCTTTAAGCTGATGATTTTATACATGGAATATGAAGTTAAAGTTAATGGCCACAAGGCAAAATTCAGCTGAGAACTCTAACTCCGGCAGAATACACAATGAAAGTACTCATATGCCAACCACAGAGATCTTCAATTTTGCTGAAAAAGTTCTAAAAGATTTTCAAATTAATAAAATTAAATTCCAAATGCAAAAAAGCATTATCTTTGCAATTAAGAGTATAATATAAAACAGAATTATTTCTTAAATCTTTGTAACATTAAAAATGTGCAAGTTTCATGATAGAGTGTCTGTCCCTATTTCTACTTCAAATCAAAGTACATTTGCTACAATGTAAAACTAAATTGCTTTACTTTGAAAACTAAAAGTGATCACTGACCTAAGCTATGAATTTGAGAAATTATGCTTTTCCCCTCCACTGAGCTACAGTAATCAGGGTAACTGATTATAGCGTAACTGACAAAAATAGAAGAAAATTTAGACTAACATGAAACACAACAATCCAATTTCTGTCAGAGGATCTTTGCTAATTCCAATTTCTTTGGCAACAGCTTATTTGTGAATGACAACCTTAATAATGGGCTAGGATTCAGTAATGACGTAACTTTTTTGCAATGCTAGGAAGATGCCAAATTTCTGTTGAGTAATAAAATAAAAATAAAAAAAACACAAACAAGAAAAACCACACACATCAAGACTTGACTCTGGGGGGAGAGGCAGCAGGCTGTGCTTCACTTTTGAGAGTGACAACTTTCCAGAGTGTTCTGAAAGGTTTTCAAACTTTCTGTCAAGTGCTTTTTAAATGCTGCAAATATTTTCATTTTAAGCCAGACTCAAAAGAGATACAAACTGTAATTGTTTGAAAAGAAATAAGAGCAGTGAGCCAAGCCATATACCTTTAACTATGTATATTTTTTTAAATAAAAAAAGTTTATAAAACTTTTTCAAGAATAAGGAACTAAAAGAAACTACAATGGCAGACCTCGAGGAACTATTCCCTGTTAAAAATCCTATACTTTCCTGGTAACACGAGATTTTTTTTTTTTTTTTTTTTTTTTTTTTACTAATTGTTTGGTCCTTAGAAGAAAGGGCCAAATTACAATTTAAAAAAATCAGACTGAATAATTTTTAATTAAAAACATCCACATATATTTTTATAGCGATGCTAACATAAGCTAAAATCAGTGGAGTGCAGAAAAGCCAGAAACAAAACAAAGGACTGGGCTGTATCACAAAGAGGCTGTATGACCTTGGGCAGAGTTCTCTGAGTCTCAGGGTTTCAGTTTCCCCGCAGAACAGTGGGATTCTACCTCACTAAGTGGTTCCCAAGAGCACTTCACGCTCTTTAAAAATAAAAGCCCAGCATGCAACTCTCCTCCACAGTCCCGTGCGCTTGCTACCTAGCATTGCCCCGCTGATTTCACTGGCACCTCGCTGCCGCGGGGCAGGGCAGTGACAACGGGAATGCAGCGAGCCTATGCTTTGCATAGCATGTAGGGGCCTATTTCATTGTATAAACTACTCAGTGAAAAGAGGAACAGTATTTTTAATGTTTTCCAGGAACCAAAGTGCCAGTTCTTCTGCAATGTCAAGAAAAGGAACTGTGTGCTAGATCTTAAAAACAAAAACACAACTTTTTTTAATCAAAAGGACATGCCTACATCAACTTTATTCTTCTATATTCGTGGTTCTTTTAAAAAAGTCAATTATATTATAAAACAGTATTTACAAAGCAGGATAATTGTTGCCAGAATAATTTTTGTAAAAATGTATTATTTTCTCTAAAGTTCTCAGAGTCTACACATTTCCTCCTAAGGTTCTACCTATCTCTAAATTAATAACATGTACTTTTTCTAACCCAATTCTTATTAAAATATTCTCCTCATGTTTTCCCACATAAGTTTACTATCTATAAGTCAAAAACTGCATGACTTAAAAATATACTCAATACAGAGGTAAAATCCAGACAGAGTCGCCGAGTGTGTGACCCAGAAACACTTCAGACAGACAGCTGGGACCTGCATGTCAGAAAGAAGGCGACACACACGCCCGGACGCGCAGGCTGGGAAGAAACGCCTGCTCGTCGTCGCGGAAGTAAAAGGGAAGCCACAGCGAGCGGCTTGCCGAGGGAGAGTCACTGAGAGCTGGGCCGCCTGTGCGCTGCTCCCCTGGCAGAGGCGCTGGAGTTCCCAGCCAATGCCGGCCGGGCTGCCCCACCAGCTCAGCACCCAGGCCCTCCCAGGTGCCCTCTGCTGGCCTTCGAGACAAGATACCAGGAAGCAAGGGCATCTTCTGAAACCAGGCAACATTTAAACTATTGCCAGAAACCTACAACCTTTACGTATGGCGATTTATTTACTTATTATTTTTAGGTCACAAAAGAAGAAACAGTCCTGCAAAAACCCTGAGCTGCAAAAGCAAGATCTTATTGAAATTGTATTATTTCACAGACTAGAGATCACAGGTCACTGAAAAGTCATTTAACTGAACAGAGCTAAGTAGGGATCTATGATAAACTATAACACCTAACAGTAAGGTGAAATGTTATATAAAAAATGTTTTATTTTTCTTCTTTTGAACACTAAATTAGATAATCTTCTAACTTGCACAAAGGAAAAGAAAGTGTCTTCTTTCAAAATTGCAACATTGTTTCTAAATCCAATGAAAAGACAGTCTATTTCTAGAGATATTAAATCAATATATCAAATATATACTCTATTATAAACATACCGGGGGGGAAAAACAAAGAATTAATAGAACAAATTTCTCCCCTCACCAAAAAAGGAATCCTCCCATTACCACACACTTACCAGTTCATCCTTCTCCCATTTATCTGTGCTGCTTTTGTCTTGATTGACTACATAACCAGGAGGAAGCCAGTTCACAGGGGGGTCGAATATGGACACCACCATGCGGCTGGGCAGCCCCTTCTTCTTCCCAAGCCGATACAGATTGCAGTTGCTGACCTTCGGCAGAAAAAGTTCACAACACACTTACTATGCACCATCTCCGCTGTAACTCACAGGAGGCATGTGAACATGTTTGCACCTAAATCGTTGTAACTGCTCATCAATGATAAAGACTGACGGAAAATATGAAGTCCTATATCCTTTAGTGTCGTTAGATGAGTATTTGAGTTTTAAATGCAGATCCGAAAAAACTGACATACACATGCAAATTCCTTAAGTCAGAAGAAATAGTTCAATTTCAACCTGTAGAAAGCAGGTTGATATAAAATGATGATATAAAATACAAAATGCTAATTTTGAAATTTTTGAAAAAGAATCCACATAAGTCCAAGAGGTCACAATATTCTCGATGAAGTAAAGTGAACCTGGCACTGAACGAGCTCAAATTACTTTACAATGTGAGAGCCCACGCCACAAATAATTTCAAATGTAATGTTTTCTCCACTCCTGTTTTGAATGGTATTTCAAGATAGTATTGTTCAATCATTTTAAAGTCGAGCAAAAGGCAATAAAGAACAACTCCCTTGTTTATTTGCATCAATAAAACCCTCATTTCTGTTTTCCCTGAGGCTTCCATCTCCTCAAATTACTGCATTTCTGTCTCATTTTTACTTGGAAACTAGTGTCTAGAACTGTCACCTCATTTCCGTTTCTTTTTATTTAAGTCCTTCATGAGCCCTTCTTCCACATAACGCAATGCCATGGGACCAGCACCCAGCAATGCCATGGGACCAGCACCCAGCAATGCCACGGGACCAGCACCCAGCAATGCCACGGGACCAGCACCCAGCAATACCACGGGACCAGCACCCAGCAATACCATGAGACCAGCACCCAGCAATACCACGGGACCAGCACCCAGCAATGCCATGGGACCAGCACCCAGCGGGAGAGGCGCCAGGGCAGCGTCCCTGGGAGAACAATGCCAGCAGGAGCGGGCCTGCACAGAACAGCTCGGAGGGAGAGGCGTCCACTGACCCCAGCACTTGCTGAAGGGCTTTCCCAGGCTGCCTGAAATGTAACAGCGCAAATAAATGCTAGTTCCTTCTCCATACTATGAGGACACAGCATCCCAGATGCCAATGAGAGGATAGGAATCACAAAGTCGACGGAAACAGTTGGCAGGAGAGAACTAAGGAAGGACTCATGGAGCTCAAGGTGGGACAAGCAGATTCAGCAAGGAGAAATGGGTGAGTGCTCCGAGAAGCCACCAGCTGCTGTGTGCCCGGGGCCCGGGGTTCACAGGAAGACAAGGGTGTCGGCCTGGCTAGGAGACAGGCCTATCTGGGGCTGAGCACCCTGGAAGGTCTTACCCCAGGCAAAGGGAGGAAGAACTTCCACAGGAAAGAGGAGTCAAAGCTCTCTGAGCAGATGAATGGATGAATTTTCGAAATATAAAATCATGTCTTTCTTACTTAACAGGGTAGTCATTCTTAGCCTCTGATTCCCAACCACCCCTGGGAAATCTCACTCGTATAAAGCTTATTCCCCAAACCGTATCTTAGTCCTAAATTCTCAATTATCTGAACATCCCACTTCCTATTTCATGAGATCTAAACACCCAACCTGAACCCTGATTCCTACATTTCTGTCTACCTCACAACCAGTATCATTATCACCCCAACCTCTGTGTGTGCGCGCGCGTGTGTGTGGTTGCCATCGCTACATCCTCCCTACCGTGCTGGGATGCAGCAGAGACGATGGTGAAAGGCATGGGCTCCAGCCTCGGATGAACGCCCGACTACCCCGGACTAGCTAGATGACCTACATGAGCTAAACTCTCTAAGCAGTTTTCTCATCTGCAAAATGGAGACGTTATCCACCTCCCAGGAGCTCGTTGAAAAGATTACAGGAGAAGGGCTGTAAGATACCCAGTCTAGTGCCTGGTGTTACAGGGCAATATCAAGGGCAGGTCGGTGCAATGGTGAAGAGCGAGGTCTCTTATAGCCAGACTGGGCTGCCCTCTATTTGCCATGAGCTCAGGCAGTTCGCCTCTGCTGCTCCAGCACCCTCATCGACAAGATGGAAGACAGCAGGTCTGGCAGAGGAAGCACTTCGTGTCGGCCAACATCATTGCCTCTGAAATATCACTCCCCCAGACATCCATTTCTGCTCACGCTCAGACCTTCAAAGCCAACTGACTGCTCAGCTTGGTTTGGTCTTGCTTTTCAACTCACGCTGCATGCTGCTACCAGATCCATCATTTAAAACCACCACTTTATTGATATTCATAGTCCCTCATGCAAAAAGTGCCTTCAACATTCCACAGTGACCTACACATTCAAAGTGCAGATTCCCTCGCTCAGGAGTACGGCTTCGACCCACCACCTTTTCAGGTCTTTTCTCAGGAATTTCCACACTTCTGACCGTGGCCGCCGCTGACTCAGAGAGCCGACAGGCTCGGCCATTTGTCCATTTCACGGTCGTACTGTGAACACACCTCTTCCGTGAACACCTCCTCTGACCATGAGTGGTAACCCCTCGCTGAGTGCTCAGGCTAACCGGCAGCTAAGTTATCTGCCCAACAGGCACACGCTGACTTGTGACACCTCTTTTCATCATCATTAAAGATTTACTTTCACTACTTTTCTTCCTTAAATCTTGACTCCACACTAAATTTAAGAACAGGCCCTCCCTTTGTCTTATCAGGCACTGCTCACTCAGAGCCCGAGGCTCAATCTCCTTCCGCGGGGTCACTGAGCTGGGAGGAGTGCTGCTCTCTCCCTTCCCCAGCACCCTACGCCTCGGAGACGAGCAGCCCCGTGGAAGCTGTGTCTTATCCACCGAGACAGCGCCCTCCCAAGTAAACACTTCGTTCACCTCCATTAAGTAGGGCGCGAGCTCTCAGACAGCTGCATCTGAACTGAATGTCTATCAGCAAGTCAGTCACATCAGATCAGCAGCCCCCAAACCTGAGTGCTTCATCGGTGACAAGCAGATCTGTGTCAACTCCTGGGCATGTATGCCACCGGCTTTAGCGGCACATGGCGGGTGTGGGGTCCCTGAGGTTAATACTTTCCTTCTCCCCTGAAACTACCCAATACTTGCAACCAATCCAGGCACAACGAATAATTGTTCTAACTCTCAAAGTAAAAGGAGGACCTCTTACCTTTTTGCTTCTCATGTATGAAAGGCGGCCCTCGTGCGCATCAGGGTAAGTGCAAAATAGATACGTGGTGATGGCGTGCTTTAGGAAGGAGTCCCCCAGCATCTCGAGCCGCTCCAGGTTGAACCCATCGCTGGCATTCGAAAGGGTCAAAGCCTGAAGAATGAGTCCAGGGTTTGGGCCCAGAGTCCTGGAGGAGTAGCCAGGAGAGGGGCTCTGCGCAGAGCCCAGCCTGTCCTTGCGCACGGCAACAGCTTCTGTGGGACCAGGCACCGTGGCCCCCGCGGGACTGCCATCTGAGGTAGATTTGTTAGCATTTCCATCAAGGTATTTATTACTCAGTAGAGTACATTCATCGCTGGGCGTGGGCTGGTTCTCACAATTGTATAAATTCTGAATGGGATATGAGGTAGTTGGTTGTACAGGTATTTCCTGCTTGTAGTAATTCAGCTGATTTCCTTGGCAAAAGTCTCTGTTAGCTAAATCATAACTGCCATTGGCAAGATTTCTATTGTAAGAAAGACCGTTAATTGCTGTGAGGTCTGTGGGCACGTCAATGGGGAGCTTACCAGGTGACTCACTGAGTAACGCTCTGCAGGTCACAGACATTTGGTCATGATTCTCTAGAGAGGAGGTTCTACTAGCACCTTGATGTGCAGCATGTTCAGGGACAATTGTGCTGTGCTTACAGTAATGATCATTTTCAGCTGAAGAGGAGTTAGCAATTGAGATGAAAGATTTGCTGTCGATAGATTTTTTCCACCCAAAGTCTAAGTTAGGGTATCTGCAAAGACATTTTTATAACTTTTCATCAGATCCTTCAAAAGGGCTAGGCCTAGAGCAAGAGTCATCTGACTATGAAACAGAGATCCCTGTATTTGTGCTCCTACTTGAGAGGAGAAACCAGTTTCCAAGGAAGAAGCCTGCACTGCACTGCGGAGCGGACAGGTGCATGCGCTGCTTCCATCCCGTCAGTAACAGTGTGGTTGCCAGGCGCTGAAGCCTGGGTCAGTCCTCCGGCTCACGAGCTGGGAAACTTTGGGCAATTCACAAACCTCTCTGCGCCTAAGCTAACAACGTGGAAGAGGAGCGAACAACAGTTCCTGCCATTCCATTTTAAAGTCCCTCACTCTCCAGAACCACGTGGTCTTGCCAACTGGATAATCAAAATTAATCTGAGAGGTTAAACCAATAATTCCCAGAGAGTGCAGAGACTTTACTAGTGGGGAAATAATGTGGGGAGAACATAATGAAAACAAAGATACCAAGGCACTGCTTTTCAATATAAATCCGACTTGTAAGAGGAAGCAGGCTTCGAATGTCAAGCACGGTTACAAGGACTGTTTTCATTTCAGCTCCCATCGCTGAGGGAGGGGGTGACTATTTTTGATCCTAGTATCTCACCTCCCTCTATAACATCACAGGAACACAGGACTCAATATGTAGATTTTTCACTTAGGAATCAAAGGATGCATTTATGACACCTATTAGGCATCCTTGTTCTTTTAGTCTTTTAAGAACCATTTTAGATAAAGTTAAAGTTTAAACTTAATTCAATTCTTTTGTAAACAGGCCTACCTAAAATCCACAGGAAGGGATCTGACTCCCACGCCGGCATCGCTGGCTGTCTGGGCTCGGAGCTCCTCGGCGGTCAGAAGGCAGTGAAGGCGGTACAGAACGCTGGGGAGACAGACGGCTTTCCGCCACAGCGAGGCTGGGATCGGATGGATAGCACAGAGTTCGGGAACCAGTATCTTTGAATACGAAGAAATGTGAAAACATTAATATAAAGCAAACACACAGAAGAATGGAAAACAAAGCTAAGATCACTTTCACTACTGGATAAGGACAAAAATCGTAAGTACTAGCAAAATCTTAGTTTTGAAAATATTTTCATACAAATCCTTGAAGGCCACATGGGGTTTATCCTAGGATTTATAAGGATGACGTCATGGTATCATTGTGTCAATGGACCAAATATATAAGCCAAACTGATGGCTGCTAGGTGAGGAGGGGGAGGGGCTGGGTGAAAAGGTGAAGGGACTAGGAAGTACAAATTGGTGGTTACAAGACAGTCGCAGGGATGGAAAGTACAGCAGAGGGAATACAGTCAATAATACTGTAATAACTATGTATGGTGTCAGGGAGGTGTGGGACTTACGGAAGGGATTATGTGGGTAAAGTTACATACTGTCTAACCACTATGCTGTACACCTGAAACTAATGTCAGCTGTAATTGATATATTGAAAAAAAATTTTTTTTCAAATAATCCTTGAGGGCAAATGGGATTTATCCTAGAATTTATAAGGATGATTCATGTATAATTGTACCAATGGACCAAAGGTAAAAGTTAAACTGCTCATACTTACCAAAAAAATACTCAAATAAAAGTCAACACATAACATCAGTTAAACCAAAACAAAACCTAAGAGTTGGGCAATTTCCAAAATGTTTATAAGTCACTTAGTTCACTTGATAATATAAAATTCAAACTTATCTTTATTAAGTGATGCTCATAACATTACCTGTTTATTCTGCAGACTTTCCCATTTGGCTTTCCTCTTTTCAGCACTGCTTAGAGGAAGGGCTTTCCCTTTCTGATTCAAATGGCGAGGTGTCAAAAGATTAAGTCTGCAAAACCCGCAAAACCATTTTATCAAACAGACCAAGTCCGCTCTCCCAGTGCCGCTCCAACTCCAGTGCCGCCTGCCCACCTGAAGAGTTCATTGCCACCACGGACCCTGGACCACACCCTGGGCAATCTGTGTGCACAGCATCTAGTTTCAGAGTCCAAGGGGGCAGTATACCGTGAACCTCTGCATGTGCCTACTGCGCGCTGGAAAAACCCCTTCAAGGGCAGGCTTACCTTGAGGATGTGTGGTCCACATCCAGCAGTGGCTGGTTGAGATTGGTCAGGTCAAGGTTGTACTTGGTTTTATAATATTCTGCAAAAGTTTCATACTCGGGGGAAGGAAATTTGCTCAGTGGGGTAAGGTCAGTGTACACATCAGCAACATAAAACCGATGAGGTTGATCAAAATTTCTATACCTAAAAATAAATAAATAGATAATGACTTGTGGTTTAAATCAACTGTTCTCAAAACACAACTCACTGTTTTTAATATGGAAATGGAAACGCGATTGTAAAGTAAGAGTTCAAAAGGTTAAAAATAAATAACATTAATGAAAACTTTAATTCCAAATCATATATTTCAAGTGGATTTGAAAAAAAGCACTACATTTATATCAAGCAAAACCTACCTGACCATTCTCCCCTTCTTTCTTAGTATCTATACCTCCATAACACATGGAAGCTAAAGGGCATCATTAAGTAACTCTTAGTTCCATCAATCTGAACAGTACAGAAAACTTCCAATACCCAAGCAGAGCAGACACTTGTACATTACTAATGCGACTGTGACACACGGCCACGGAGGTGGACTACTACACCGTTACTAATGCTGCTAGTTGGATGACAGCTAACACTAACTATGGCTTTGAGGCACACAAAGAAAAAAATCAGGCGAAAAGCATCAGAGCCAGCGCTCAAACTCTGAAAGTGCCTAAAATCTCCATTCCCTACATTTGTACAAAATAAGAAAAATTCAGATTTACTAGTTCCTTCGAACTTAATAACATTATTCCTTATAAAAATGTTAAGCGAAATATTATTTCTCATCAAATTCTCGAAGACTTTGGGGATTAAAAGGAGGGCGGTTTTCGGAAGAAAGCCTGTCAACACCATTAGATGACCTGATCTTCAACGACAGGATTTAGGTTTTGTTTTATAAGGACATAAACTGGAGAAAACAAGTCCACCATGAAGGGAAGCAGCAATGCCAAACCACAGCGCACTCACTCTCCCCTGCGAACGAGTGACTCTCCCGAAACAACGCCCGCCAGCCCGCTCATCTCCGCCAACCGCTCACCTGGGGATGATAACTGCGTCCTGGTAATCTTCCAATTTAAAAACAAAGGGTGTTTCTTTTGAGTACTTTGTACTGGGGATGCCTATGCGAGCTTCTGATTTCTCAATATCTTCCATGAATTTAAAGTCAATGTCCAGAGTGCTGGAGTCATTCACTTCGGGAAGAAAAAAACTGTTAGCTTGTTAAAATATCAATAGGAAAAGACTCTGACGTAAGCTCTCTATTCACGTGTCTAACACAGAGTTACCATGGTAAGAGGCTTCTGTATTACGTACAAAAGCAGCTCCCAAGCCAAATGTTCCTTCTTTCGAGTCGGGTCCTTACCAACATTCAGAGGTAGAACACAGTATGCTGAGTCAGCGTCTGTGGGCTTGAATTCTAGTGCAGGCTTTTCAAGGCGAAGAATATGTGAGAATATATACTGGTGGAGCCTTGTAATCAACTCGAGCATCTGGAGAGACAGCGTGAAGCCAGACTTCTTCAGCTCGATGGATATGGTGACCTCTCCAGAGCGAGTGTACACCGGAAAGTGCGGAATCTTAGCACAAAGGAAGACAAAGCGACCACGGTTAACAGGTATCGATTCCTTTCTAAGTATTTAACTTCAGGAGAAGTGATGCTTTCTATCAGGAAGCAGAAGAGACAGCTCAATTTTTAAATACTGAACACACTGCGAGAACAAGGCAGTCACTCTCTAGTCGTTTTCCTTCTAACATCGGTAGTCATTATGCAGTGCCTCACCTGAGGTATGGGTTTGGCTGTCAGTATCCCAAAGCATCTTGTGGTGTCCTCAGGGGGATAGAGCTTCCGTCTTCTGAAGTTGAGTTCATCAGGTAATGGGGTCGTTAGAACCATTCCTATCACATACAGGTAGCAGGGCTGATCAGGTTTGGGATAGCTATCCCTCAGACATTCTGGAATCTAGAATTGGAAAGAAAAACTCAGCATCATGCTCAAATATAATAGCCTCTTTTCCAGATGTTGGCAAGAAAAGAAACTTACTCCTGGCTTTACCAAATGCTGCTGAGAAGCTGAGAAAATAACCGAGGCACGAGACCTCCTATTACGTAGCCCACTGGAGAGTAAATAAGCATTTCTCAGGTCTGGGATACAAGGCCCACGTTCACCTACCCATAATGCACTGCTGATTCTACAGCTGGAACCAGAAGTCAGACTCGGCAGCTTTAGTGCATGAACTGCCACCGATCCACCTGGACACATACGCTGAGAGAACGGATTCTGACGCCTAGCAGACCACACCCTAACTCCTGACAGGTATCTGTACTTATGCCCGCCAGTGTGCCCCTCACCCTGAACAGGCACCCTTCCACTTATCTATTTGATCATACAAATCCTCTTCTGTCTTAGCCCCACACATAAGTAAAGCAAGCACCTTATCACTACAGTGAGTAAAACAAAGAATACCTCTTTAAAAGAAATACTCTTGTTCTGGATAGAACCTGATAGGTGAGTCGAAGAATCCTTTTGGAAAGAAAAAGAGGTGCCATGTCCGAGTGGGCAGGGGCAGATCCGAGAGAAGGAGCGGTAGGGGAGGCAGTGGAGGTCCAGAGGGGGCCAAATGACAGGGGTTTGGGAAGCCAGCCCGAGGAGCTGAGATTTGATGCAGCAGGAAAGAAAGTGACAAGGCCAGATTTTTATTCAGCTCTAACCAATACTAACTGCTTTTGGGTAGCACTGTCTTCGTTTTGTAGAACCTGGTCTGCCTGGGACACTGGTCTCTTCTTCATCATGCAAATCAAGCTCTTCTTCATATTTAACAGTTTCTTTCCCAACTGGCATCAAATGGTCATCCAGTTCACCTACAAAATGTAAAGGGAATTGACACACACAATACAGATGTTGCCTCCCTAATTAGTCAACGATACAGAGGAAGCAACTGGAAGAGTAATGACAACTAAAGCATCTTTGCTCTTAATAAAAACGTAATCGAACGTGATACTTAAGGCAAAGTTTATGCTGAATCCATATATTCAATATGAGCAGAATTTCAAAAATAAAAACATCCGAACAGGAAAAGAGCACACTGTCATCACTTTACAAAAGCCATGGGGATCCCATCCTCCCATTTTTAAGGAAGTGGATAAACTTGTACACTAATATAGGTTAATTTGAGAGACTGGTGTTAAAATGCAAACATTCATGATTCAACAGTATATGGAAACCTTTATGCATCTAAAAGGAGTCAGTAAAGAAAGCGAAAAAGGAGAGTTGTCTGTAGCTCAGCGGTGGGAAACCAAGCCTCCTCCCCCGACACAGCTCACAGCTCCACAAAACCCGTCGACCTATAAAGTCCTTGACATGCTTTTGCTTTACAATGTTTTTAACTTTATTTTTATTTGCACGTGCTTTTCAAATGCTTACCAATTTTGTGCAGTTTCTCACAGCAAATAAGAGCTACAACTCTTTCAGCCAATCGTATACAGCTCATTGGGGGACCCTGAAAGTAACAAGAAATATTTCCATTGTATATGCACGTAGCTATATTATTATTAACACCTAAAATATCTATAAAACTTCTGTCCCAATACCTTTCAAGTTGAAATTTACCAGAGGAAAGTTCTTTCTTTTGGAAAATGTCCACAAGTTTAAAAAATCCTATTCTCCATATCTAAAATAGCCAACTTTAAAAATCTTTCCCAGAAAAACTGAATAAATTATAACTAAGACTTAACAATTTTGGTGAATTTAAATTTTAATATATTTTATTTTCATTAATCTACAAGCATGTAACAAAAAAATAAAGTTATATCAAGATTGGACTACAAAATACATGATAATAGTTCTGAACAACTTTTAATGTGCAATAGAAATTAGTCATCTTCGAATATCTGGAAATGAGCATTGGGACCAAGGACAGACAGCAGTTACTCAAAGACAGAGCCTCAAGTCAGGAGAGCAATAGAGCAGCCCAATGACAGCTTCAAATTCGGGGTCACTGTGCGCATCTAAGCCACAGCTGAACGGTTCTGTCAGAAATGCAGACACTAATCGGATCTTGGCGGGGACCTCCGAGGTCACACGCTCCAATTCTACGAGTCTGTGAGTTATGTAGTGAGACTGAAGGCACATCACTTCTTTCTCTAAACTTACAACAATGGAGGCTCGAAGAGGTGAGTTGATTGGCAGGTAAAGAGTTGAATAGAACGTCCCATCAGGTAACTCTCGGGTTCTGCATTTAGGAGCTAGATGAGTGAATGGGTCACTTGGTAATCTAGCGCAGTATCTGGGAAGAAAAAGGAGTTCTGATGCTCAATCTACGGCTGAGAGACAGATGAGAACATTTTACTGACAGTCACATCCTGTTTGACTTCTGAGGTCCCTCTTCCCCTCCGCTGAGCGGCATTTAGTGGAGTGGGAGCCTCACTGCTTCACACTGGCAACAAGGAACAGTGTGTCTAACAGACTTCCTGCAACGATGCTGTAAGGGCGCTGTCCACCAGGCGGCCACTGAGCCCCTGAAAGGTGGAGAGGGCAGCCAGGGAACTAAACTTTTTACCTTATTTAATTTTAATTAAAATTGAAATCTGGATTTAATAGTCACGTGTCCAGTGACTACCATGCTGGACAGTGAGTGCAGAAGAGGCTCTGAATCTGTTAAGAGAACACACCGCCAGTGTTTGTTCCTTAACCATCTCACACTGGCCAGGCGAAGCCACATTGAGAGACAGGCCACAAAGTGACCGGCCTGTAATCTTCAAAAGCTGCAAGGCCATTAAAGTCAAGGAAGCTGAAGATCAGTTCCAGGCTGAAGGAGACAAGAGGTGATGAGAAAAACAGACAAACCCATGGCCCCAGGTGGGACTCTTTCACTACCAAGCACATCCCGTGAAACTTGAACAGGCCTCTCTGGGTGAGGGGACATGGGAGTTCTTACTAGTATTCTTGCAACATTTTAAAGTTTTAATTTATTTTGAAATAAAAAGTTGAAAAGAAAGCCTTATGCTGGCTGCTCCTGTGTTTTACCTCTGCATAGGATTTATCCTGATACATACTCTAGGCATGTATCTGCTTTTCTTCATTCTTAGAAATGTTATTACCAAGTCAGGGCCAAGTAAATTAGAACATACTCAACTATACAAGTTAATTCATCATAATCTTAAATTGTTGCAGGTGAAAAATTCAGTATTTCCCAACATTTGTGACACAAAACAATAAATTTCAGAATTCAGAAAAATATTAGTGAGCATTGTAAAATTAAATCTAATTAAAATAAGCACACCTTCATTGTGTCAAGCCTGTCGATGGGAACTAAACATTTTCATTGCACAATATTGTTTTAGCCCCTTGACCAAAAAGAAGAATGGATGGAAAAAAGCAACTTCATATTTTTCTCTTATCAAAATATTACAAGCCATAAATGGAAAGATGGGTCTCTGTTTGCAAAAGGTAAACAACAATGCAGTCCCTAGAGGTTTAGACTGAAACCTTCAGTACTCACAGACTTCCACGCAGTGAGCTCAGACGTACCTATTGATGTGCCCGATGGCCGTGTTGATTGTGACGCGTGGACCCCCGTCATCGGGCCTCAGCACATACGGCGGGAACACGTCGTCGTCGTCCACCACAGGCTCGATGTCAGTCTCCCCAGTGTCAACTGACTTGGAGCATTTGTTTCTCAAAATCTGAACATTTAAAACAGAATCTGTGAGGCAACTAACGCCTTCTTTGCCATCTGTGCGTTGTCCACCTCCGTCCCTCTAGAAAAAGGCCCCTTGACAGGAAACTTCGCTTCCAAACACCCTTCAATACTCCAAAGCCACCTGCTGCAGAAAATTCCTCCCCGTGCGTTCCTTCTAGAACCGGTCACGGGGACACTCGTCATAAAGGCGCAAGGCTTATAGTGCACAGCGCACGCACACACAATCACCAGTCTCTTCCATTAGTATAGGAGCAATATCATTCTGACATCACTCCAGATCCCAAACCGTCCACTGTCACTACACTGTCCACACTCAGTGTGCTTTCCAGGCATTCTTCCTGAATAATCCATATGACCACTTTCTCCATTTTACTGTAAGCTTGCAAGCGCTTTAGAAAATGCTGCTGGCTCTTTGTAATTACGGGGAGGGGCAAAAGTAGGTTTACAGTTGTAAGTACACAAAACAGAGTTTATTCTTGTATTGTGATTTATTAATTATTGTATTATTTTCCATACAAACAACTGTGAACCTACTTTTGCACCACCCTTATGTTCAACTTTCTTATCATGTACACACTGCACAGGCCTATTGAGGTCATTCTCTGTAGATGAATTTTTATCTATCTCTGTGCACATAGAAATAACTTTAACTTTTGGATCTTACCTTTTCAATAGCTTTGTATGTTTTAAGGTCTTCTTCAAAACTTTTGATTTTGTCTGTATCTGCTAACATGATATAATTGGAGATGGGTGCCCTTGCTCTTCCCTTAGATTGAACATAGGATCGATACTCTGTGGGTAAATCAAAACGGACCACCAAGTTGCATTTTGGTATATCAACACCCTCTTCCACAATACTTGTTGCAATTAGCAGGTTGGTCTCATGTGCTCGAAATTTCCTAAGTACCTGAAAAAAAATCCACCAAATAAAAGCAATTCTAAAAAATTTTCCAAAAAAAAATGTAGTAAAAGTGACAGCTGTCATTTCTGACACATACTCTGGGTATGCTAAATTTTTAAGGCCAAACTAAGGAAGATGACATCAAACAAAATTCATACTGCATGAACATATGGGCAAAGAAGTTGTGATTTAACAATAGTTTTCAACTGAGTATGACGTGAGAAATCAAAGTGTCTTCCAACTTTACAGACGTGTCCACGCACAAACCACAGAAAGCCTCACGTTGAAGGGGCTGGCGTCTTTAATGACCACAAAGGATCCTGCCAACAAAGTGACCCAATGAATCCACTTCTCGAGTCCTGTTGACATCCTGACCCCCCACAATGATATCTGTCTGTGAGACTGTGCCAACATCCCCCCAAAGATGTCAAAATTCACTAAAATCCCTAAATCAGTTGAAATTAAAAATTACAGGCAAGGCATTATTTATTTTCTGGAATCGTGAGAACTTTCTAATGCAGAAATTAGAATCCTACATAATAAAAAGCTAGCATGCTAATTAGACCGAACAGCAGAACAACCAGACAAACCAAGGCTGCAAGGGGCTGCAAGGGCTGGTCAAGGCAACCGGGGTTTCGAGGGCCGAGCCCCTTGCACGAATTTCGTGCATCGGGCCTCTAATTAAAAAATAAAGTGAAAACTTTTTTCTTCCTAGATTTAAAATAACACCATTTCCCAATTCAGGATAAGTTAAATAATAAAGTAAATGGGGTTTTAGACAGATCTATCAGCCTCTGGCCATCGGACTCCCCAAATGGAATATTATCAAAAAGCTATGACATAGAAAACGGCATCAACGTGAATTATTCTGCTACTTTTAAGTTAAATAACAAACTTTAAATAAAAATATTTTGTTTGAGAGCCAGAATACATTAGGCTTTCGCACCTTTACAATGCTATTTCCTGTATTAAAATCTTAAAAAGAATGAAAAAAAACTAAGCCAAAATCTTTATGGAAAACAAAACAAAACCATTCCAGGAAAAGCTTTCATTTGTTGCCTCAGCCATCCGCGTCATCAGGAGTGACGGCTACGCATGCCGTTTTCCTAGGAAACGGAGTTGTGCGCCTCGGGTTGATAAAGGAAAGTGCAATGGCTGATAGCAAATAAGACACAAAGCTGATTTACCCGGGCAATTCTAATTCTCAATTTATGAATCACTACACAACCACCTCAGGAGAAGTCGTATATGAACAAGCATCCTGTCGTACAGGAAAAGGCTGAGGCGCCCGAAGAAAGGGAGTGCCTATGGGCAGTGTGTCGCCTGTGCTCTGAAAACTGTCACTGTAGTGATTTTAACTTAAGTCACCTCTTCCTGCTTCCTGAATTCCGCTTCCATCTGCTTGTTGCGAGGCTGGTTCTTCCCGATGCCGTGCCCAGTGATGAAGTTGCTGCTGATGTAAGCCAGCTCTGGGTCCTGTTTGCCAGCTTCCTTTATCAATCTAAGAAAATCATATACATTTTGAAGTTAAACGTTGGTGAGGGGAAAACATTTAGACCTTGTTTATAAGGTCTCCCTTAAAATGGAAATGCACGAATTTTTTGCCAATATACCTAACAAAATGGCACTTTCCCCAAGTAGCTTCAACAGAAGCCACTGCCACTCCGCGCTGAGTAGGTTTGTGGGCCCAATTCTTGTAACACAACCACAGGGCTGAGGCTGACGCAGCCTGATGGGTACGACGGTCACAGTGCCTCACACTCTCTAATTTGGGTGATGACGTAACAGAAATGTGGCCCAGGAAGGGACAGAGCCAGAGCAGGCAGAGAAACAGCAATGCCTCCTCCACCTCAGCTGCAGGCCGCAGGCGCCTCTCTCGGCGCTGGCACCACCTGGGGCAGCAGGCGTGCCCTAGTGTCTGTGCCACGCTCACCCCCTGCGCCAAGGGAGCAGCTCTGCAGCAGAGGAGCCTGAGATGCCCAGCTGTGTGCGGAAAGAAGCCTGGGCAGGGCTCCGTCTCCCCCGGCACCCCGCACCGAGAGCAGCTCCAGGGAGAGAGCACCTGCCTCCCCACCCCCCACCATCCCGGCCCGCGGCGCTGACCACAGCTCTGCATCACAGACACGGGCCTGGGCACAGCACCCAGAGCCCGTCCCACCCTCGGAGGATAGAGCGCGACACGGCCTGCTCCTCCGCATCCACCCAGGTGCCCATCACCTCAGGCCGGCCTTCCAGCTGAGACAGGGAAGAGCTGCAGGCAGAGATCACTTTACACGCACAGAAGGTGAACAGTTAGCACTGCCATCACAGCTATTTTGGAAATATCCACATTCAAAACTCAGCACACAGGATAAATGGTTCCACACCTGACGTAAGCGATTCCATATGGTCCTTCTGAAGTCATACAACATAGCATAAATTCCTAATAGAAAATTGCATTTTTAAGTCAAACCATTCTTTTTTCCTTTTCTAAATACATGAAACAGACTAATATCAAAGAGCTGGAGGAAACTGTGAGTGGCCATCTAAAATACCCTGCTGCCTCCCCGTCAGCACAGCCTGGGAGCCTGCCTACAATCCTAGCACTGAAAACGTGAGACTTAGTACATTCCAAGCTTTGTTTAGTTATTACAACAAACTATGACATCTGTAACAGAAAGCAATGCCACATGCACACGCATAACATACCCCACATCTAAAATATGCAATTATCTTAGAAATATGGACTTCCAAATATAAGTTTAGGTAAGCAAGCATCGATGTGAATGCAACGGAGGTTAAAACAATGCGTTTCAAGTTACTCCCGATCAGGCAGAGGACATGTTTTACTTTGCCAAGTGATCAGCCTGGCAGACTCCAATCAGCTGAGACGGAGGCCCTGGGAGTGGGTTATTTCTCCTAATGACATGCGCATCGACGCTGCAGAGAACAGAAGACACAATGTGCACATTAATAAACAAAATCTCTTGTGAGAAATCGCTTAAAGGCTCTATGCCTAGGCTGGAAAAGTTAGAAAGAGAACACATGTTTCTCTCTCAGGTAAGTTGAAGGGATGCCAAACCACATGCCCAAGTCGAAGCTGTGGGTTTCGAGCGAACCAGCCAGACAAGCTGCCTGGAGATTTCACGGGACCGAGGACTGGGAGACACCATCTCCCTTGTTCTCTGGCCTCTTACAGTGAGTCTATGCGCGTCGTCTCACCAGCAAGCCGCGTGGTAAACTACGCTGCCCTCCAGTGCTCAGAGCTTCTCAAACTATCTACAGCAAACTGGTTATTGTTTTTATTTCAAATCCATCAGAGACCAATGTTTTTGTAAAATTCCATGAAAATTAACTATTAACAAAATGAATCTTAAAAATCATTACTGTTGCATTATATTTGACAGATAGACTTACTGTCCAAACAAAGAGTTTCTGGATGCTTCCACCTCTGCACCTACCTCACCACAGTGGGCAGTGGCTGTGCAAATGCCACACTGTGTGCAAATGCATGCTGCCTAACCAATTACACTGGAAGCAGTGTGGCCCAAAACAAGAACGACGCATACTAGATTCTGAAAACCAGTAAATGTGCTTCTGATTTGACTAAACATGCTAATTCACAGAGAGCCAAAAGGGGGAAAATTCATAGATACAAACACATCATCTGAAATGTCTGCCAGGTACTGAAATATGTTATCAACAATCCTATATAATAAAAGGGTAATATGCAAATTGGCCCTAATGGTGGAACGACCGGACGCTATGACGCGTACTGACCACCAGGGGGTAGATGCTTAATGCAGGAGCTGCCCCCTGGTGGTCAGTGCACTTCCACAGGGGAGCATCGCTCAGCCAGAAGCCAGCTCATGGCCGGCCAGCACAGCAGCGGGAGCCTTTCTCACCTCCGTGGCAGCGTAAAGATGTCCAACTGACAGCTTAGGCCCACTCCTCATAGGGAGCCATTAGTCGGACATCCCCTGAGGGGTCCCGGACTGCAAGAGGGCGCAGGCTAGCTGAGAGACCCCCCCCCCCCACCCGAGTGCACAAATTTTCCTGCACTGGGCCTCTAGTACCTTTAATAATATCTTTGCTCTTTATATTTTCTTATCAAAGTGAGAAAATCAAATGTAACTCCTGTATGATCTTACCAAAAAAACAATCACTGATAGTTATAACACATTGACACTGTATTCCTACTGTGTGTCAGGTGAGAAAACAGCCATTTTTACATACAATGTCCAATAGGAGAGAGAGCTACTGCTACTATTTTACAGATGAAGAGGCTGAGGCATTAGGTAACTTTCACAAAATATACCTCTGTAGAGTGGGTAGAAATAAAAGGAGCCAGAGCTCCCTGGAGGAATGACTGTTCTGCAGGGAAAGCAGGGAAAGGACAAGAGCTGGGCATCAAGTAGCATCAGACCATAAGGCTGTGCTCAAACACAAGAGGAGGCGGCACATCAAAGGAACACAGGAGCCAGCCCCAAAGGTGTGGACCATGTGAGCAACAAAATGAATAACCTAGTATTAGGTTACAACCCAAAGTAGAAAATAAACAAACATGAATCCATACTGATCCAATAAATACAAACAGGCAGACAGGATAACAGACCTGTTTTCCTTACAGAGAATTCTAACAACTTACAAAGAGAAGCCCCTTTCCAGGAATGGAGCTTAACCCCGCCCTCCCGGGATAAACCAGACTTGGTGACTTGCTTCCAAAGGATAAAGGAAGAAAAGGGCCAAAGAACCGCTATCGCGGAGAAGCCAGCAAACACCAGTGAGCCAGGTGAGCCAGTCTAGCATCACCTGTGATGCTTCGTGCTGATGCCACGAACCCTAATACAATGGGAAGGGCACTTCACCTCTGGGGTGTTCTTCCACACCCTAAAACCCCAGGCTAACACTGAGAAAAATGTTCGACAAATTCAAAGTGAGAGGCATTCTACAAAATGCCCGACCGGACTGACTCCAAGACTGCCAAGGTCATCCAAACAAGGGCAGACTGAGAAACTGAGAGACCCAAGATTAGGGAGACATACACGCAAATGCATGAAGAAGAGATATAATAGAAAAACTGGTGACATTCAAATCAAGTCTGGAGTTTAGTTCATAGTAACACACCAATGTTAGCTTCTGGGATGTGACAAATGTACCATCCTATATAATCCTATCCTAGTCTATAGAATCCTACCTAATAAGAGAGGAATATGCTCATTCTCCATTACACCGTAACACCAGGACCGATCTACAAGTGGTGGAGAGCTACCGGAGGGCGGGGCAGCGAGCCCAGAGCAGCAGAGAGCTACCAGCGGTGGAGGGCGGGTGGCCAGCTGAGGCAAGCGGCAGAGAGCTACTCGTGCACACAGGGCTACTAGTGATAACATAGATGTTAATAGCACAGGTGGGGAAAAGCTGGGGGGGCGGGGTGCTACAGGGGAACTCTGCACATCTTTGCAACTTTTCTGTAAACAAAAGGTTATTGGGGAAATTGGGGGGTGTGCACCCTGGTTTGTCCAATGTCACACAGTATTAGGAAGTTACACAGGGAAGAGAGCACTGGATTTAGAGAAGGGAAGCCATTCTCTGCACTTCCTACCAGCGTTATTTTGGGAGAGTCACCAACTGTGTCTCCGTTTCCTCATCTATCATAGAGTAAAATTATCTGCCTTCCGCCTCATGAAGTGCTGTGAAGTTGAAAAATACTATGTACAAAGATAAATTATAAGCCCTAAAGCCCTATATGTAAGGCAAAAGGAAAGCTATAAACCTAAGGCTGTGTGTACACCTCCTCTGTACACAGAAGTGGCTGTGACTTACTTTTCAATGAGGAGAGGAGAAAACTGCCCGTGGATTACAATAGCTCACCCTCCGTGAAGCTGTTCACTGAAGAAGGGCTTTTCCTCCCATTAAGTTGATGGAAGGAAAGAATCTGGACTTCAGGAAGTTTTTCTAAGCTTATTAAAAAACTGGAACAAGACCTCTATTGTATATTCAATTAGCTGCCCATAAAAGTCAACCCTCAAATCGCTCTTGATTCATCATCCAACACTAAATTCCAGCCACATTTTATGAGAGTTGATCGCAATTAATCTGATCCTCAAAGTCAATAGGAAGCAATGACTGGTTTTCGATAAACCTTTTCAGGCTAATGCTCTTGCAATGAGACCTGGCCCATCTCCACATTTAAAAACACATGCAGAGGAGGCGGCAAGGAAGAAAATAGCCCCATTTCTTCCCTCCAAGCCCCAGAAAATTTAATTCTTAAACCGTCCTGGAAGGGGGGCGGGGAGTATGTCTATAACCAGGCCAGAACGGTGCCAATAGTAAACCTCCTGACCGCTGAAATGCCTTTCTCCCATGCCGATCCCAACAGCCGTCCTGGCCGCTCCTGGCAGCCTTCCCACCGCAGAGCCAAGCGCGGGTTAGTGTTTGTGACGCCCAGGGGCACCGTGATGCAGAGGGAACTGGAAGCCAGGAGCGGATGTCAGGCTGCGTGCACTGTCTCTGTCACTGACGAGCAATTTAACGCAGAGGAAACCACTTTTCCTCCCGGGGCCCCTGCTCTTTCATACAAAAGTAAGTGGCTGGATTAGGTAGTCAGTGAAGTCCCTTCCCAACCTTAAACTCCCGGCTTCAGTGTAATTCACTCCTTGACGCTGCTTTACTGTGTGTTCATCACAGGGATCAGGCCCAATGACCATGAAAATTACCAGACTGCAAACCACCAGACGGCGGCCCCAGGGCCCAATTTCTCGTTACTCAACTAAGTTTTCAAAAATCCCAAACCAGTCAGAAGCAGTTCAGAAAGAAAAAACCCGAAATTACCTCAGGAAACAAAGCTTAATTTCTCCTCAGAGATCACTACTTGCAGGAAAGGCTCTTAGGGATCCACCGGGCCAATTAATGGATGTCCTAGAAAGCAGGTTGTCTGAAGCACAGGAGAACCTGGCCCTGACAAACAAAGCATCGGCCCACAAACCGAGAACCAGCCCTTAGGGGGCCGTCGGACACACACGGAACCCAGCTGCTCCCGAGGAAGGGCAGGGGCGGGACCCACTGTCTCCTCTGCCAATATTCTCCAAATGTTTCCCTGACACCTTATTCTCTCCTAACTCAGGAAACTTAATATATAGTCTACGAACTAACCCACGTTGCGAATCCAGTTGTTCAAAACTTTCCACTGCAAACTTGAATTAACACTTAAGGGGTAAAAAAGCTAACATAAAAAATCAGCCACACCACCACCCAGAGATGACGTTTCCCCAAAGATTACCTTCGGGACAAAGCCTGCTGTGGAATGCTTAACATTAACACACGCCCAACACAGCAGCACAGAACAGTAAGTACCTGAACTGGACCTAACAACTGAAGACAAAACAAGAAAGGCTTCACTTTAACGTAATTGTTCTCTACTTGCTCTCCACTTCAGGCGGGTTAGAGGTTAGCATCCTTGCAGAGCAAACCTCAGGGCTGGGAAATGGGGCCTTTTGGGAGAGCTGCTGGGCACACATGCCCACTGCCAACCCTGCCTGGCACTGCCGTGAGCGGGCCGCGGCGATGGTGCGGGGGACAGTCCATCACGCCTGCAGCTCTGACGCCACCCCCGCAGAGCCTCACAGAACAACACGCTGCCTGGCTCCGCTCTGGGGAAAAGGCTAACCGTAGAGATCTACCTGTTTAAGACAACTGCTGTGTATCTTCTTTCCACAAAAATAATTCCACATAAAATATTGGTGAATGGAGAAGGGAAATTTGTCTCTGGCTTCTCCTTTTCTTCAATTTCTTCATCTTCATCATCATCCTCAGAGTCACTCCAAGACACATAGTTATCCTGGTTCCTGTTATTGTACCACTCCACGCTCTCAAACTGCTGTCGCTCATACGGTTTGTACTTGCGGAGGATCTCCAGCAGTTTGATCACTTTGGGAGTTACAAATCTCAGGTCCAGTGAGGCAGGTGAGAAGTGCTCTTCACACAGGGCATGGATTTTCCGCAGGAAAGTGTCTGTGAACAGCAGGAATTTCCTGTGCAGCTCCTCTTGCTCGTGTTTGATGTGTTTCTGCAGTTCTCTCACCATCATTCCAGCTACTTTATCTGCACACCAGGGCCCCAGAACTACCAACACCGCTCGACAGTCCGTCAGTATCTACAGAACAAAAAGAGCCACATGTTACACAATAATCACGTAGCGGTGCCCTATGAGGTTTAACTGGGGTTTACGTTATCTTCAATCTGCCCCTTCAAAATAAATGTACCCCACATATTCATGTGAACACTGAGGTTAATGCCCTAAGGTTGGAAATGGGGGCCCGTGGTCTTTCCAAGCTCTACTTTTTCATACACACACACACACACACATCCAGAACCATCATTTGGTTTTTCCCAGCAAAAATAATCAAATAATAGATATTAAAAGATGCAACTGTATAAAGATAATGAAACTTTATTTTTAGATCTCTGATTAGTTAGGACAACTGAGTCATTTACTTTCAGGTAACTATACAAGGAATTCCATAGTGGAGTCATCTTATTTTAGGTATCAAAGAGCAAGACAATTTTCCTTTAACTTTATACGCAGAGAACCACACCTTACAATCCTAGCTCAGAGCAGACTGCCAATCCACAGCGAGTGACTGAGGAACCTTCTGCAGGCGAGTAAAAGACAGACTGGGGGAAACATGGACTTAGTGACAATTCAAGGGCTAAGGAGAGTCTGGGCATTGCTGCTTCAGAAAACATCAGCAAGAGAGAAATTAAGATGCAGATGCAGCAGTGTCAGCACTCATGAACGGGTGCAAAGTCCTAGAACAATGGTTCTCACGTTTTAAAGCATCAGGGTAACTGGACGGCCTGTCAATCTCAGCCAGCTGGACCCACCCCCGGTTTTAGATTCAGCAGGTCCAGGGTGAGCCCATAACTCACATGTCTAACAAGTTCCAGGGGGTGCCGATGATGCTGGTCTGGGGTCCATACTTTGAGAACCACTATCCTAAGGGATCTCTTCTCAAAGCTGGATCCCATTCAGAGATGACAAGCTCATATCCAGTTACACACAAGGAAAACAGCAAAAGAATTTGTTTAGGCAAAGGGTTTGAGCAGGTACTAACTCATCTGACCAAGAAATAAGAAAACTGGACTCATTCCTTTTATTCAAATAGCCATGACATGAACACCCTAAGTCATCTCTCATGTGGGGGAGGTCTATGCTCTAGTAAACTCAACCCGATATATGTTTGATACATGTCCAAAGAGGTAAGGTTCAGGCCTTAAATTAAAAAGTATAGAAACTACCCTCATCAGAAGCATATTTTCATTTCAATACTAAACACAAACAGAAGCCTTTTATTATATGTCCTATACTTACTTTGCATATGCTTACCTGTTTAGAAATTAAAGTAGAATCTCTTTCTTTTGAATGTGCAGATATATTACAGTCATTGACAAAATTAAGTGCTTCCTCTAATTCCATCAGCAGTCTCTCATAAAGCCCACTTCTGTCCACAAATGGTCCACAGTCCACCACAATCTCGTAGGGCTGAGAAGTGTATCTTTAACATCAGGAACAAAAGTGGTCAATACTACAGTAAATGCACTACTGCATTACGATCCACTACATATCTAAACCAAGCAAGAAACCTCCTATGTCCAGCTTGCACACCTACTTGGGACAACAGGCAGGCTCACCGGCTCCCTGAAGTGGTGCTCACTCGTGTCCATGCTATGTGTTTGCCCGTCAGGGCTCAGGAATGACTGCAGAAAGCTGACAGTCAAAGAATTTTGAGAATTCATTTTTATGCCAGGATTTTATTTTGTTTTTTAGGTTTAGACTTTCATCTTTTGCCCCCTCAGGAATAATGTTGGTCAAAGTACTCAAGAAACTCAACATGATACTTTTCAGAAGCCGAAATCAGGGATGGGGGTTAGATGGTAGGGGGAGGTGTTATTAAATTGATCCATTTCCATACTAGTTGAAGGTATAGCATTTGCAAATGTCAACTTTACTTTTTATGTGTTTTTATAAAATCTGCTATAGGGAAAGCTTCCCCCAACTTTCAGTCAATTACAGTATCATTCATTGGATCTTTCATAAAATGTGACAACCAGAGTAGCACATAATATTCTAAAAGCACATACAATAATTAAGGAAAAAGTACAGTAAAGACATTTAAATACTAGTTTTCATTATTCTCAACCAGAATCTATACCTAACCAAAGAGCCACATTTAGAGAACTAGGTAATGCCAAATCCAACAGATTACCTATCATCATCATCCTAGAAAGTTTTACTTAAATACTCTAATACCTCTACTTTTCTTGTAGGAAGTAAAAAATTACATGTCCTAAAGGTTATGAGATCTGTATTTCGTATGACATTTGGATACCTAAGTTCTATAACCTAAAACAGTACCTTTTTTTCTCATTCTACAAAGAGAATTTTCCAAAATTCTACGGAACGCCAGGCACACTGCAAGGTGTTTTCTAGGTGTCTACGTAATCAATCATCGAAGAATCCCCTGAGACGACTGCCAATGCCACTTTACAGATGCAGGAACAGTAAATGACTGGCAGTCACACAGCTTACAAGTAGTGGAGCCAGTATTCATAGCCCATGTCCGATTTAAATCCATAACCTGAGAATAATGAAACCTGTAGTATTTAAATATGTCTTTACTTGTTAAAAGACTGTATCTGATAAGAATATAAAGGTATTTTAATATGTATTAAATTTGTTTCATTTATTTAAAAACCTTATTTATACAGGCTCCCTTCCACAAACTTAAATCAAAATTTGTGTGTGTGTGTGTGTGTTTCAATGAAACTCAAAATAGCAACCCCCTCAAAGAGATGAGCCTAGAAATCATAAACATCTTTCTCAGAAATGCATATCCATTTTCAAAACTACAGGGTGTTTCCAATTATTTTAAAGCATATTGTAAAATACTGAATTCTCTAAGTAATGTTCTTCCAAACCATCACATGTGACATTTAGATCAGAAGAACAAAGCACACACATTGATGGAAAGGAACACAAATTTACTATCATGTCTCCAGTCCTTGTCAGTATCAGCAAATATGAAGGGCCAGGGCTGATGCAATATTCTCTCCTAAGGCAGAAACACCTCCATCTGCCTCTCTCTGTGTAAACAGGGCTAAGCCCCTGCATTCGAAGGGACTGTCCTGGTAAAGAACTGCTGTCTCGCTCTTTCCTTTTAACAGCCACTGTGTGCTCTTGCGCAGGCACCTCCTGCAAGGCACGGGAAAGGCCTGCAGGCCCCGAGTTAGTCTAGCTGGTCTGGCCACACCGAGTCGTCGGAAGTGCATACCTGTCTAAGACCACCAAGTCGGTTGCAGTCTCAGCATTACTCTTAAGAATTTTCTCCAGTTTCTGAATCTTTTCTTCTAATTCCTCTGGATCACATTTCCCATTTAAAATGGAAGCAGTTAGTCCCAAAATACGAGGGCATGACGGACAACTTTCACAGAGCTAACGTAATACAAGATACTAACAGTAAGAAATTCATTTTGCAAGGCCATAATAAAAAAGGCATCACCATATTAAAACATGTCCAAAAAGACTGACAAATACTAAAAATATTACTTGCAGAATTATGGTAGCATGCTTAAAAGTTCCACTTATCACAAAGGCAGATTTCTTATGCTTAAAATTTTATTACAGATTTAGTTTTATTATAGATTATTTATTATAGCTTATTATTATAGACTATAGATGTAAATGAACATTAATATTCATTCATTCATACACTGGAACCAAGTTCACAAAATTAGTAACTAATACTATTGCTTTGATATATAAAAACACTGCTTATACTCATTAATTTGACCTGAATTATTAAGACTGATAAAATATAAAAACTTACCTTCATAATTTCTCGATATGGGTGGTCTAGGATTGCAAGGTGACATTCATCAAACACCAAAAGGTTAATGTCTGACAGTGACAAGTAACCATTTTTCAAAACAATCAAGGCGACATAGCAAGTCATAATGAGAACCTAAAATAAAATTGACATTAGTATGAACAAATGTGTACCATTCACCTGACGGGACACACTTACATGAAAGAGGTTATGGAGCCATTGTATTGTAAGTGAGAACTAAGAAATCCATTAGTCAAAATTAATACAAAAATTCTAAATGTATGGAAGCTCATACTTTAGAACCAAGAAGTAGATTTGGAAAATATGAAACAGACTATGAAAAACAATTCTTGCTAACAAAGACCATGTTTTTATAACTCTCTTAAATCTATTTCAGGGTTTCAGGTTCCTACAGCCATATTTTGACTAATGAGACCTGTCAATTTAATCAAATCACAAAACAATTCACAGTTTTTTCTTTTTTTTCCCCCTTTGAACTGACAAAGTTTTCCAGAAGATGACACAAACAAAATGTGTTTTTTCCATTTAATTTATCCTATTTTATTTTTTTCCATCACCATTTATACCCCATACCCTCTTCCACCTCTACCCACCCCCTCCCCCGCAATCACCACACTGCTGCCGTGTCCATAAGCTCTTTCTCGTTTTTGCTCAACCCCTCCACACCCGCCTCCCCCTGCCACCGCCACCACCACCACCACCACCACCACCACCACCAGAGCTGTCTGCCTGCTCTCTATCTGAGTCTGTCTCTATTTTGCTTGTTAGTTCAGTTTGTTCATTAGATTCCACATATGAGTGAGATCATATGGTACTTGTTTTTCTGTGACTGGCTTATTTCACTTAGCATAACATCCTCTAAGTCCATCCATGCTGTTGCAAAGGGTAAAATTTTCTTCTTTTTTATGGCTATTAAATGTTCTTTTTATAGGTTATCATTCTGTGGACATTTAAGTTCTTTTTAATGTGGACTTAACCCAAAATGTGAGACATACTTGCAGACGGTATGCAGACTGTTAAAAGTTGGTTAGGAAGCAGTTCTTAACCACTTCAGATCCACCAACACGTTCAGCACACAGAAGACCCTCCACACATGCTGGCTGCATGGCAACGTTAAGTGAGAGGAAGTCTCGTCAAAGAGCTCCACCAAGAAATGTCTCCAGTTTCAAGACATTTCACTCAAGAGCACATGTTCTGAAAGCACGTTATCTGCAAGTTGGAAAGAGTCGGAATGTGTGCTTCCCAAGCAAGTAAATCACACTGATATAAGAGCAACACAAATTAGCACTTTATTCGGCTTTGGGAAGAGACCCACAGTGAGAAAGGTGCACGGGCTAGTTTCTGGGCTGACAAAGCACAGGAGAGTAGGGTTTTCAAGTCCAACTCAGCCAGCCAAGGCCGCAGGGCATCTTATAACCAAGTCAAGGACTTGCAGGGATTTACAGAGTGAAGTGTCGCTGCCAGGCTTACCTGGTGCTTAGTAAACTCCTGGTTCCATTTCTCTTTAGTCCAAGATGCAAGTACTTCTAGGTGTGCGTATTCCCCAACCTTGAGGTCTGAATGAGTCCTGACAGCCGACACTTGCTGAGCAACCTGGTTTGCTGGTTACAAACAGAAACTCCATGTAAATAGGACAAGTTGGCTCTAGTTGGTTCTCTGGGCTACGATTCAGACAGTTAAAGAAACCCTTCTTATTCTGTATTATACCGAACCATCTGCATTTTAGAGATTTCCAAGATGCACTTATTAGACTCACCACCCTGACCGTCACTCACTTCAGAGACCCTGTATCACATCCATGCTTGAGTGCGGATTTTCCCCAACCTAAAAACGTAGCTTTTAGGCTAGAATGAGAACTACTCCAGATCCACCCCTCCTGTTGTAGTCAATAAAATCAAATCGTTTCACCAAGAAACAATACAGACTAACACATATTCACACCTCATGCTGAGAACATATAAAAAAAAAGGAGAGGAATGACATGGTTGTATTAGTGCCCTAGCAGCTCAGGTTCACATTTTATACTTTTATTTTAATATATAATCCCAAACACATAAAACCCAGTATTTTTAACTATTAAGAAGCAACTATTTAACTTTCTTTCTACAACTGATAGAGCAAAATCATAAATCAAAAAGTTACCTATGTCATAATCAAGCACCTTTGGGCATGTTTTGTGAAGCTAAAACATCAAAACAAAATAACTAACACAACTTAGATCATGTTACAATAGTAATCCATTCAAAAGAAATGCAGAATCAGGATTAAATGCAATTACATCTAAAAGAAAAGCTAAAGTTTTACACCTATGGAATAAAACAGCTAATATTTAAGAGAAATACTACAAAGTTAAGAAATAAGCAGCTCTGCTATCAGAATTTCAACAAGTACATTACTTGTCAAACTCTCTACATTTTCAATAATTTAACCAATAATTTAATCTCATCCAATTTCCTCTATGCAATGTGAAAAGTACTTTTTTATTACCAGAGTTGACCAAGAACACAGTCCTTTTTCCATGTCTGCTGAAGTCTCCCCTGATCTGATAGGACAGCTCTTTAGTGAGTAGCACTGCAATGAACGTCTTCCCTGAGCCAGTGTTCAAACAGACTATGGTATTCCGATCCAGAGCTGCTTCAAGCAGTTCAACCTGGAAATACAGTGGGAAAAGATTACACACTTCTTATCTAAGTACAAAATTTAGAAAATGGGATTTTCTTTTAATTCAGGAAATTCCACTGTTTTCTAATATCTTCCTCCAATAAGTTTGCCAAAAAGCATACTTCCTGCATCTGTGTATATGAATAATAACCAGACGCATTAAAATGCCTGTTATACAGAGCTGTAATATAAGCATATGCTGAAATGCATTTACAATTTCCTTAAGATTTTTGCACGGACAGAATACTTCTCTAGAATTAGATGAATGACTAAATTTATTGTAATCGGGGTTCTGCCAGTTCATAGTTGTTCAATCTCAATTCCTACCCAGCTCATGAGGAGAGACACATCCAAATGGATGAGGTTTTCAGAGGGGAGAAAATAAGGAACTTCACAAATAAAACTATCAATCCAATTACTCAGCAGATGTTAGAAAAGGATTATTAAGAACAAAGTATCTGAAATGAGAAAATTAATCAGAAGAGGAAAGCTTGAACAGGTAAATGAGTTTTATTAAGTTGTGTCAACTAAATGCTAATTTATTCTATTTTAGTGAAATGCTCCAGTATTAGTGTTCTCATTAGTACCTGATATTTTCTTGGCGTATAAATGTTATCATGAATTGCTTCTTGTTGCCATGGCAGTCCAAAGAAAGGACCCATTGGTGAGGAAGCAGGGGTCATGAGCTGCAGGCCTGCCATGCTGAGGGGTTGCAAAGCAGGGCTTTTCATTCATCCAGTGTTTCTTTCATTGCATTTTTGTTCTAGCACAGCTTACTACAAAAGGGAAAAAGAATACCATTACACAACCATGCAGAGTTAAAAACAAAAGAAAGCACAGAAACAAGAGAAACATCAAAATATCACTCCTATGGGCCTTTTAAACTCTTATAACTGTTTTAGCTTTTTCTTGATCTAAGAGGATCGTTTTTAAAAGTCAAACATTCTATTCTCTCCAACCCACCGACCCTATCCCTAGTAACTTGTCTGAAAGAATTAGACAACTGTACACACGTGAAAGTACATAAACATTTATTGCTGCATTATTACTACAAAAAAGAAATAATTTTAAATGTATTAATAAAAATTTAGCTAAGCAAATTATGGTATGCCTATAATGAAATACTCTGAATCCATTAAGATAATACACATCTATATTTACTGACACAGAACCCTGTCCTTAATATGTATAACAATTCTTAAAATATATGTATATATAAAACATGTAAGTATGCACAGGAAAAATTCAAATGCCTGTCAACAGTTATTTCATCTAAAGACTAAAACACAGGTCTTTTTCTCAACTAGCAACCTAGCATAGATGACCAACTACTAAAATATGTACCTTTAAAATTATACATCTCCTACACATTTAAATATCAAAAAATAATACTAATAAAATGAAATTATACATATCCCCAATAAACTAAAACAAGGCACACCATTCTGTGAAATGATAGTCTGTCATGGTATCTAAGCACTCCTGTGGATTTCATGTCTTCTTTCCCAAAGATAAATCTGGTAAGTAAAACGACAAAGTAAAAATGGAGTCTTTCTAAAATCCCTAACCTGCAGATAGAGGGTTAGGGTTTCCGATCTCTATGTGAAAGCCCAGCATCAGCTTGCCTAACTGTCAGCAGAATTTGCTTGCCCCGTAGAAGGGAGTTCTCTCCCTTGCGCTGCTTGGGAGTGTTCATTGTTATTACTCTATGAAACTGAAAGGAAGAATACAGCTTTTGTCCCTTGACAACAAGAACGCTGAACCTCCTGACGTTAAATGGATAACCCTGGGACAGCACAGTGACCTCAGTTGTTGCATCTAATCCAGCAAGAAGTCTCAAATGTGGGCCTTCATACAGGCACAACACACATTCTGATTTCAGAGGCTACTGCAGTGGCCAGAATTCACCATCCAACTAATACAAGCGCGATCCTCAGTAAGGAACAAGGGCACGCGGCTGCAGGAGCCAAGGACCTCAGCAAGGCTCGCACCATCTGTGGAGCAGACAGTACAACGGCTCTCATTACCCTGTGGAGGACGCAAGCAGAGAAGCCGGAGCACATCATGAAAAACTACCAAGTCATTCTTTTCCCCGGATCAAAGGAACACGCTGCTCCTTCTCCACGGAACCAGGGCCCCAGCAGCCATTCCTTCCACCCCCACCAAGCGTTCACTTTTCTCCATTCCGCAGGCCCACGGATGCACACCCTCAGGTTCGTCAATCAAGCTTTTTACTCAACACAGCTGCCGGGACGCCAACGTGAAACCCTATTTTACCTAATTTCCTGCGATCCACAGGTCAGTCTGCAAGCCAAGGCTGAGATCTGCAGGCACCTCCCAGCTGGCTACCTTCGTGGGCTCCCTCCACACGCCTCCTTCCTGACTGCAGGCTGCTTCCAGTCTAAGATTATGTATGCTTAAGCGACCCCTCACTTCTTACCCAACCCAAATCACAGACACAGCAGAAAGTATCAGGAAATCAGACTACATCCGGGTGGAGGATGGGGAAAAAGGAAAAAGAGAAGAGGGCAAGAATGCCTATAAAACTCCAACTACACCTCCCTCCACCAGCACAGCCAGGAATCAGCAGGACCCCTCCTCCCTACCACTGTCACGTGTCACCATTCCTTCTCATATAGATGACATCAGTAATTATGATCATTAATAACTCCGGGAAAAACTTTCCAAAAACAAATGAGAAGAATGTTCCATTTTTTTTTAAAGGGAGGTCTGTATTCTTCAAAAATGTATCTTAAAATACAAGAAGAAAAAAAGAAAGAAAATGTTCCAGATTAGAGAAGACTACAGGAGACATAAGTGCAGAAACTAATCTCCCATGTCAATGGCAGATCCATGCCTTAAAGTCCATTCCTGAGTCCAGTGAAGAAACTGCAGAAAACGGCAGTTAACCTCACTGCAGTATGGCTCGGGGCTATGTAAGAATAGCCTTCTTCTTAGGAAATATACACTAAAGATTTAGTGGTAAAGGGCCATGATATATGCAACTTATTCTCAGATGGTTCAGAAAAAGAAACCAGGTATAGATACAGAGTGTGTGGGTGCAACTGATACAGCAAGTGGGGCAAATGGGTAATGCATGTATTCTTTGTCCTATTCTTATCCTGAACTTTTCCGTAAGACTGAAATTATTTCCAAATAAAGAGTTCTAAAAAGTAAATAAATACGACCAACTAAGCCAGGATTTCCTTGAGTACAGGAGCTTTATGCCTCACACACACCGTGTCACCCACAGCACCGATCACACCTGGCCAGGGCAAACCAGCACCCAGTCTGTAGAATGAAAACAATGCCCACGTGAGTGACATGAAAACCTCCAAACGGCCTCTCTGCTTTTCATAATGCAGACCACATTGCGCATGTTCAGACACCACACACACCTTATTCTTCTACTGGCACACATGCTCCACAGAACAAGATGTACACCTCACTCTCCACAGCTCTGAACTTGCCTGGTGCGTGTACCAAGTATACAGTTAAATCAGTGGTTCTCAACCTTCCTAATGCCGCGACCCTTTATTAATACAGTTCCTCATGTTATGGTGACCCCCAATTTCATTGTTACAAACTGAGCATAACTAAAGCATAGTGATTAATCACAAAAACAATATGTAATTACATATGTGTTTTCCAATGGTCTTAGGCGACCCCTGTGAAAGGGTCGTTCGACCCCCAAAGGGGTCACGACCCACAGGTTAAGAACCACTGATTTAGATAAATAAATATTCGATGAACTGAGTCAGAGATTCATGAATGTCCACACAGTAACGTGTAGAGCAGAATCACAGGCGGCTCAAAACCTCTATCTATTTGGCTTGGAAGTCCACACCACCGTTCCTCCCGGCCTTGGAGGTGTAACGAGAGAAGACTTGCAAGGAAATGGAGGACAGCCATTTAGCCCTCCCAGTTATAGTTTCCATGAGGTTACAACATTTACACTAATTGTCATTCTTTCAGTATACAGGGGCTGGCCCCGGTAATATACTTCCTATTTAGGGAAAGCAGATCCAAGATTTAAAAATTCAACAGGTAATCCAATCATGTGAAAACAGAAGAAACTATAATTCTGCCCATTTTGACTTTCTTTGGCACGGTGAAATGGATTTTCCCCCTCACTCGGCCTTAATGAAATGCTCTGAATCCCTGCTGGTAAGTGAAAGTGCTAGTTCACAGATGAACTGACTACAGTAACTGCCTTAGCAGCGCCAACAGTAACTCCACGTGACTGTTTTTCAATCACAGATTTTAAATTTCTGGTCAAACAATTTACACTCATGAAATTGGTGAGGCTGTTTCATAGTTTCCATATATTAAAACAACTTAGCACAACACACGATAAACTCTTCTCCACTTCCCACACAGGTTACGTCGCGGGTTTACCGTTTTAATGTGTGATCTCTGTGTTGCTGTTGTCTGCACTGCATTGTGACATTGTGACAGCAGTTTATTGGAAAATCACAGCATGCCCATGCTTCTGCTCTAAAAACAAATGCAAAATAGCCAATTTTAAGATTCCTGTACTTAAACTGAATATAAACACATCTATAAGAGTGTCTTATTAATATGAAGAGTTGAATAAAGGCCATTATTTTTGTATTAAATTTTAAACAAAAGACATTTGGGTTATTTTAGGGTACATTATTCTAAAACAAAGAGCAAAAGAAGGAACAATAGCAGGCCTAATTCCAAGAGATGTGGGGGAAAGAAAAAAATTCAAGAACAGATTCTAAAATGAATACAAGGAAATTAAACGAAGTAAATAAATTCTAAAGATGAAGACTAGAACAATGAAAAAAATAAAAGAGTAAGTATGTGTTATTTCCTAAATTCACATACACAAAAGAAATAACGAAGGTCGCCAGAAGAGGTCAGGCTGAAAAATCCAAATCATCTAGTAATAGGTCTTCAATATGTATATTATAAAATGTTATCAGCAATTTCAATTTCTCAAAATAAAACTGAAAACACAAATTCAAAAACAGTTAAGTCCACAGTATAGAACTCATTTATGAATAAAAGAATTCAGAAACAGAGTTCACCAATATTGTAGAGAAATTTAAATTTAGAGGTGGTTCTCCTAAAAGAGATTCTAAGTCAGAAACTAAGGAAGCACGAATTTGAACGTTTAATTGAATCTGCACACGTTGGCTCTGTGAGCGCTGACCCGAGTTCATTAGCGCACTGCAATGCTGCTACCAGCACACGCTCGGGGAGAACAAATGGAGGGTCTCCTTTCACTTACCTAAGGGCAGTCTAGTTGTTTAAAGAACATTCCTGTGGAGGTTAAACTTGCTCATTCCGTACACAAATTTACTTTGCTAGGAAGTTAACAAAGCAGAATGAGGGTACCTTAACACTATTGAAGTATGTACATATTTACCTCAAAATGCTGATTCTAAGTTCTTTCAGTTTCCAAGTCTGTATTAATTCATACCCTAGGTAACCTAAAAGCAATCAGAGAGAATATTTTAGAACATAAAACTCCATTTTAAAAACCAAATTTAAGAAATTTCCTATTTAACAAAAATGTTCATGTTTAACTTATCAGAATAAGATCCCTGATAAAATAATTTAGTTATCTATTGGGAGTCAAGAAAGCAGTACATGTCTGAAAGAGCTGCCCTTTAAAATTTCTATTTATTGTTCTAATACAATTGAAAAGTTTTAAAAGTTGTTAGTATAATCCGGCATCAGGGAGAATTCTTGACAGTACATTACATTATCCCCCATAAAAACTGGCTTTAAAACTCCCAGACACCAGGACAAGTCAGCATCACGCCGACAGGAGATGCAGGTTACCGCCCTAACTGCTCCTGTCAGTGTGCTTCCTAAAGCTGCCTCGGGCAATCCCAGTCTCGCTGCCACCTAAGAAGATGAGATGCAAGTCAATACACCACCATCACTCTCCCCTCTTCGCTAATGCATATTCGCCTTCTTTCTGGACACACCATAACCAAAACAATAAACCAGTGATCATTTAAAGTTCACTGCAGCCTCACTATGACTGCTGATTATCCCAACTACTTCCCTAGACAATCCTGTGTAGATACATGAGAACGTGAACATGCCAGATACAATGAGAACTCATTTTATGTTCATAACAGAGCCAATAGGTCATGTTTTCTCATTTTAATTGATGACCACAACTTAAATTACAAACATGCAAATTCCTGTTTGACAGGCCCCTTTTATAACTCTGAAAAAGACAAGCCACATACCAGACTCTCTGTCAAGTTTTAGAATAAACCAACAGACTGACCCCACATTAGCATCTAACCCACTCTATGGCTGTATGTACCCTTTCACACCAAGGCTTGTCCCAACAGACAGCTAGCCTGCTCACAGGAAGGCTAAAGGCATCAGGAGCTTCCTGGTGCGCATTTTCAAAACTGGTAACAGAAAATTCCAGCTCATCCATTGCCTTGCATTAGTGTCCCAGATTCTGATACTCGAGCTTCACAAATACGAACGTCCAGACTTCAGTCCTACTCTTGTGAAGCCCAAATGCGCTGCTCCCTACCATGAAGTCCCACCGTGAACAAAGGAAAACAACATGAACACTGACATCAAAACACAGCCAAAAGCACTGGTGTCAACAGAAAAAACTAAGAAATGTTTTAAGAGCTTTTCGTTCCTAGTAAACAACCAAAAAAACAAGTCTGAGATGTTCTAAATTAAAATTACAGAGGCTAGAGAAAAAGACAGGAAGAACGGCCAGCCTGTGAATAGCTGTGAGCTGGCTCTAACAGGCTGCTCCTGCTCCTTGGCCCACGCTGGAATTTCAGATTAGTTTCCAGGGGGCTATTTCCTCGATTATTCTGAAGAGAACAGCCAGGCACCTCGGACCCCCAGGACCTGGGCTTCTTACTTACACCTGAGCTTCCCAAACTTGCCCACCGCCTACACAAGGCTTCCCTGGGCCCTGAGCCCATCGCGGCCTGTCCAGCTCCACCTTCCCCTGGCCTCTTGGTCCGGAGCTCGTGTCGAGCCTTTCAAATGGGCTTCCATCTTTCTCCCTTACTTGATGTAGGAAAACGGCTGCAAAACTCCGACAAGGAACAGGCTATCTTTGCGACCTAACCGTGCTGCTAGGGGTTTGTTTAGATTCCAGGCACCAAGACCCGTCTTCTTTTTTGCCAGCAATGGCCCAATAATCCCTTTCTTTTAAAGGCTGTCAGCCATGGAAGTTAAAATTGTTTGTTTAACATAACAAATATGCTATGGCTTTCCAAAGCATTATTCTAACGCCATCAAAGCCTAAGTGACTAAAGGCACCCTCGCCTCTGGATACAGTGACAGCTTTATGTGGTGGCCCCTGTGGTTGCTGGTATAAGGGCAACATTAAAAAGAAGAGGCTCCTTCCCCATCCTTTGTTTACAGAATTCTTCTCAGTCCTTTTCCAATGTATGTGAATCTTACACCTCTAGCTCTTCTCACTTATTTCTCAGGAATGTTTCTTAAGGGCCTGAGAGCCACCTCTGAAATGTAATCAAGAAAGATACCGTGCAGCCCTGGCCAGGCGGTTCGGGGGGCTGGAGCATCACCCTACACCACAGGCTGGAGGTTTGGTTCCCAGTCAGGGCACATACCTGGGTTTTGGGCTCAATCCCAGTCAGGACACTTAAAGGGAGGCAACCAATTGGTTTCTCTCTCACATTGGTTTCTCTGTTTCTCTCTCTCTCCCCTTCCCCACTCCCTTCCCTGGACCCCTTCCTCTCTCTTTCAAATCAGTAACATGTCAAATCAATGAGCATGTCCTCAGGTAAGGATTTACAATAAAGGAAGATAATGCCCAATCTCCAAGTTTCCTAGGAAAAGATGGGCCTAATTTGCCACCTGACTCCAAATTGCAAAACCTACCTCCACTGATAAAGATACAAGAAATTAGCAATTTATCTTGACAGCATGGAAGTAATAGGCTGTAGCCACTGTCTTCTCCAGCTGTAGTGGCTGACCTGATGCACATCCCATTCTGGTTCAATGTTCACTCACAATAAAATCGTTTTCTTCCCTTCTACCTTTTTGGAGAGATTTTCTGGGTTGCAAGATTTTGTTTCTAATTCTATTTTCACATCAGCTTTACAAAAAAACACCACGTCCAGTTCTCAAATAGTATGCTGTTGTGGCCAACGGTAAACTGAGTGGGGGGGTGAAAGGATTAAGGAAAAGACAGACAAGAGAATAATAGCTGGGTCTCGGTGGGACGCTGCCTCCCTGATGAGGAGACAACGCCAGCGCCCACAAGCCGTGTCTTTATTTTATAGCAGATGCCACGAGGCAAAGTAGGGGCGTGATCACATTGTTTACAGCATTCTCGTGAGTCTCAACCTCACTCAACTATATGCACCTGAACTCTACCACAAGGCACGTGGGGCTACGTGTTTGGACCATAGGTTCAAGCTTAATTGTGCTGGGAGGGCCCTGCCCTCCAGCTGGGACTTGCACATGGCAATGAGAGGACCCTGTCCTTTCATTAGTCCGAGGCTTGAACCTGGCCAAAACACTGTAGCCGCGCCCCATAGTATGCATGCCAAATAACAAAATTCCATTTCATGGAACTTCCTAAAACATGCTACCCAACTATACCGGGGAAAGGAGTTTTAAAAAGAAGAGGGAGCTAAGTGAGCAAACAGCCTTATTAAAAAAGAAATCTGCGCATAGAAAGGATCCAAAGTTGTTTAACTCTTTTTAGATATATATATACATATATACATATATACATATATACATATATACATATACACATACACACACACACACACACACACACACACAGTGCACGAAATTCGTGCCCTGTGCTCTCTCGCAGTCCGGGAGCCCTCAGGGAATGTTTGACTGACATACAGCTGCTGAGCTCAGCATCTGCCCCCTGGTGGTCAGTGCACGTCATAGTGAGTGGTTGAGCGGCCTTAGCATATCATTAGCATATTACACTTTGATTGGTTGAATGGATGACCGGACACTTAGCGTATTAGGCTTTTATTATATAGGATTATTGACTTTAGAGAGACAGGAAGGGAGAGGAGACAGAAACACAGATGAGAGTGAAACACTGATGGGCCCCTACTGGGGATTGACTCCAAAACCCTGGCATATGCCCTGACCAGGAATCAAATTGGTGACCTATAGGTGCACTGGATGATGCTCGACAAACTGAGCCACACCGGACAGGGCTCAACTGTTTTAAGAAAACTTCCTAAGGCCAGATGATGCTCTCACCTCTTAAGAGGTTCTCATACTAGTACACAGCCACTCCCTCCTCACAGATGTTCCCAGGCTGTAAGGAGGGGCACCCAGTAAGGCAACTGAGGGTGTAGAAAGCAAGGCCTTTTTGATTTTTTAAAGTATTTTTTATTTAAAGTCATATGCATGCCAGCAAGGGGTCCAGCGGCAGGAAGAATAAGGCTTATCGGACTCCACTACCTCTCTCTAAGGTTGTTTCCTTGCCTACAAAATATGAACACCTGACTATTATGAGGATCAAGTAAGACCATGCATGCATGTGCTAAGCCTGGTGCAGAAAAAGTGTTTGCAACACAGAAAATGCTCACTAAGTGGAGTTTCTTAAAAACCACACTCCCATCTCTATCTAGAACCATGTTTTCAAATAATTCTTAAGACTATAAGGAATGTCTTAAAGAAAACCTAAAGTGTTTAATTCTAAAACTCAGCATAGAAAATATATTCTCATATAAATTTAAAGTACACAAGATCTTATGTATTTTAACCCAACAAAAATGAAAAAACAAACAAACTCTGAACTACCTAGACATTATGAATTTATAGTAGGATAAAAATCAAATCTAAATCACAAACTATAGTATGTAGTGTGAAATAAAGTTACATAGCTTTGTACCCGCCAATTTTCTTTAAAAGCAAAGAAAAAAAAAAAAACACACAACAGAAAGTACCATATACTATTTCTGTTGGCCCCACTGACATCACTGAAAATATTACTTCCCTTAACTATTTCTTAGGCAATAAAATAGTACAGATGGGCAAGAAATTATCATCATCATTATCATCATCATCATCACCAAAATGGACAAGTTTTGAAAATATAAAGTGTAAAAAAAAATACAAAAAGATGGGAAATATCCCAAATTTCTATAGTATACAAAATAAATATTTCAAGGATTTATTAACTACTATTTGGTGAGTATAGCTTATGAAAAGACTAAGGTCAAACAAAGATTGAGACCAAAGAGAAGAGAAAAGGAATACAAACTTCAAGAATTTAAACACCAATATCTTTAGATACTAATTACAGATTTCCATTTTTACTTGTCATTTCTGTCATTAATTAGAAATCCTTGCATATTAATCTAGCCTACATTAACACATACAAAAACTTCATACAGAAATGTTCCCTTCAACATTACCAATTATAACAGCAAGAAATGCCCCTCCCACTTCCACCCCCAAATCTAAATGTCTCACAATG